CTTTAGGTACCTATTAATAAATTTTACATTTAATATTTTTTTAGTGAATACAGCCTAAATGATAACGTAATTCATATTAGTTCATATTAGATAATGTGGACTATGCAATATCACCGTATCAGTTATAATTTTCTAAAAGCAGGAAAACCACAAAAAATTAAAAATGACAATAATAACAATATATACTTGTACCTAATAGTAATAAAATTAAAATAAAAGTAAAATTGTATTTATCTTCTTCATTAACAGAAACCATTTTTGAGACTCTATTAAAAATCTACTTTTTCATGAAATTTCGGGGGAGGAAGTGAACTCCTACCCCCTCCCCCTTCTTGTAAACGCGCTTGATTCCGTATATTCGGATATCAGATCGGTTCGATTATATTTGCGATTTTCAATTCGTATGACATCACAACAAATAATTACTGACCAACATAAAGCTGCCGCACGAAACATTAAGAGTGTGAAACACATCATTCAATTTTCTTGGCCTACTCAGAAAATTCTGTTCGAAAACTACTGAAGGGTTAGGTGCATAGCCTGCAGACTAGTCCACTTTTGGAAACTGGAGAAGCATTCAACGAGTTTGTTTACACTTCAAAAATTAAGATGTTAAAAAAATTGTACAACCATTTTAAAGCTGAAATTTAGATCTATAGCATTAAAATATTTGAATGTTTTAATTTGTTTATAATTTTTTAATCTGATTTTTACACCAAACGAATAAAACAAGACAATTTCACGGTTTGACGGAAATCAAAAATGTCAACATTAAAATGCATTTACACTAAAATTTCATGGAATTTTTAATATAGGTATTAGTTTGAAAACCAAAAATCGATGATGGTTTCATTTACCCCTAAAAATAAGGGTGACAAAACATAATAACAATATAAAATTGTAAAGCTGCTTGTTTCTTAAAATGAACTATAAAACAAATCCCGAATATAGAAAGTTAATACTTTCCGTGATAATCTCACGTTACGTGTTTATTACTTTGTATAGTAACTACTAACTATACAGAATCGTAACTTGTTAATATTGCGAAATGATTACACGGCAAACGCGGGTTAAAATTAATAGCGGCGAATTCGGAAGTGGGTTATAGACACACAGGCACGTAATTGTTTTTTTTTTCGGTGTTGATTTTGGTATTATTACTGTTTTTACGTTTTAGATAATTTCATAAACTGTTTGTTCTTTAAATTTAGGAGTCGCCATTTATTTTAGCGAATCGGGGCGATTTTTACGGATTGTTATTATATTTTTAAAACACTGCAACAAAGTAATAGGTTTTAGTTGATTTTGCACACACGCTATTGGTTATTATACAATGTATAAAATAATATCGTAAAAATAAAATAAAAACGTACACGCGTAAACGGCGAATACTTATACTAGGTACTCGGTAATAGTATTATTGCTCTAACATCACCGGGACTCCCGTGGGAAATCTCGTTAGAGGAATTTTGTATATTCTTGTATTTGGGATTCCATGGCGAGAATTATCAGTACTCCTATTAGCATTAAGTCCGGATTAAGACGTTTAGAAGTCCCGGGATCAAACTTTCCTTCATTGAGAATTTGAAATACTCAAAAGGAATTTGAATTTAAAACAAAATTGTTAAAAACGATTAAGAATCTACTCAATTTGACAATATGTTTTAACCAAAGAAAAACAATAAATAATGTAGAGGCGATAAATCTTAATTCGAAAGCCACGCATATTTTATAAATACTTAAATAAACTTCAAAAAAAATCTTATCAGCTATACCCATGCAGTAATTTATTCGCTATATGCTTTAGTTTTCATTAGGTAACGAAAAAGTACTAAAAGTAATGCAATTTAAAAATACAAAGTTGTCAATAAAAAAGAACACACTTTGGTGAAACCGAAGGTCGAGGGAAATGACCTCTCCTTAATACTAGCTTGCATATTCATGCTCACGGATTCATTCTAGTCTTTATAACAGTAATGCAGTACTCCTGTACAGTTGTATTGCAGTCCTATTAAAGAATATATACAGAATGATTCACTTAGCGTGCTCACCCCATTTTTTTGCTTACATTCTACATTTATTCAAATTATGATTTTTAGAATTTTTAAGAGTAGTTAAAGCCGATATTTTGGAATATTTAGATTTTTTACGACATTTAAGGAGTATTTTGTGGTGATCTAACTTTAGTTTTTCAAATGAGAACCTATATTAAAAATTCCATAAATAGATGAAGTATTACTTTAAATCAATTTTAGTGTCAAAATTCTCATTTGTATTTAAAAGTTTGTATCACCACAGGATGCTACTTAAATTTTGTGAAAAACCTAAGGATTTGAAAATATCGGCTTTAACTACACTTAAAAATTTCAAAAATCAAAATTTGAACACATACAAAATTTAACCAAAACAATGGGGTGAGCACTGAGGACACTCAGTGAATAACCCTGTATTTGAAACTACGATTTGAATCCTAACAATACGTTTTAGTTTATATTCACACCTATATACAATGTGTTTTTTTTACCATGAACCAGCAATTTTCTCGGAGAATTTTAAGTGAATTAGATTTCTGTTTTTTCTAATCATTATTAATCGTTTAAGCTTTATTTTAAAACCATTTTTAATTTTTTAACACTATTTTATATACCTTAAATAAGGATATACTTTTGATTTTCAAATAGGCCCCCCCCTTTTGAACATAGATTTGAGTAGAGAATTATAGAGTAGAGAAATATTTTTCTAGAAATTGTGATATGTATGGCAATAATATCAGATTTACCGTTTATGAGTTATAACAGTTTAAAGTTTAGACCGGAAGAATAGGGAGGGGTAATAGATAGATAATTTATAAAGCTTAAACGATTCCATAATGATCAGAAAAAACGGAAATCTAATTCACTTAAAATCCTCCGAGATAATTGTTGGTTCATAATAAAAAAAAATCACCCTTTATAGTAGATACCAATATACGAAGCTGTAATTGGAAATGGGCCTGCATTGTTTGGAGTATGAAGTTACAAAGGCGATAGTCAGTATTTATAATATTACAAATCTCTGTCATCGAAAAACGATTCAGAGTAGATATTGGAATTAAAATTTTAACCCTAGATTGACGTCGGTGTGAGCCATTTTACAGACTATTTCACTTTTAAATGTATCGATTTACAAAAACAATCATTTCTTTATTATATAGGAACTAATGATATTTGTTAAGCGTTTCAATTTCGCTGAAAGAGTTGTCCGGTGGAAATAAAACAAACGTGATTGTAAAACTATACATATTTATGTGCATAGGTATCTGTATCTGATAGACATAATTTCTTTTCTCGGAAATCTTAAACGTAAAATCCGATCCTGACGAAATGTTTAAAGAAGCGCGTTGAGTGAAATATTTTACAGTTAAAAGTAGTGCTACTATAATTAATTTGTGTGAGAAAACACGTTTGCCCCACTATTTACAAGTTGGATTTTGGTATAACGTATACGATAAAAATATCACGAAAAGTGTGGTAGCGAGGTGACAATTAGTACAATGATTCCGTTTACGCATAAAACAAAAAAAATCTAAAAATAAATCACTCTTCGTTCTCCCTCCCAAATTGGTCGTCGGTTTTAAATGATTGCATTTACGGCATATGGGGGAGACAAGGCATTTTCCCAGTCTAGTTTTTGCCTTGAGTATTAAGACGGCATTGTGGTTAATCATTTGCGACTTTTGGGTCCCGGGGGAAAAAAAGTGCTGAAATATCGATAAAAGTTTGACACTTCTTCGTACCTATATCTTGTCAAATGTAATTAATCTGTTATCAAATTTCCTATTTTCTTGTTTTCCGACCGGCTTTCACGACTTGACGACAATTTATTGCGATGGGGCAATATTCGAGTGGAGCGAGAATATTATTTTGTTCTTCGCTTTGATTTTGGCAAATAATCCCGTTCCACGTCTGTCGGCGAATGCGTTACGTTTGTCCCAGTCTACTAAATATTGAAACAATTGATTTTATTGGATTTCGGCGCATTTGTTTTTTTTTTTTTTTTTTTTTATTTTTGTTGTGGAATTTAACACGATACAACCTCGTACGAGCACGCAATTTATTTGATGGATACTCCGAGGGCGGCGGCGGCTGCGGCGGCGGCGGCGGTACTCAGGACGTGAAAACGGTACAATAATAATAATAATAATAATATTGTATACCTTATGTACGTACTTGTTCGCCTATATAGCTGCAGTTATACACGGGAAACTTGGTGCGAAAACGGCGACGCGCGCGTGAGGTCGTCCCAACACACGTACACGGCGAAGTACGTTTATCATTATTGTATTTATGTGCAAATCGTTTAGTATTCGTGAATAATATATTATGTTTATATATTCACGTTGGATATTTCGGTTTTTTGTTGCGCGCTCGCAGACGTAGTAAGTGCTACAAATAATATAATAATAATAATAATATTATTATTATATTTTATTATATTTATGATATTATTACGGTAACGGTCATCGCGAGGTTGCGCGTCAATGACCCGAACTGCGACGATTATTATTATTTTGTAGCTACGTTATACGCCGCGGCCGGTGGCCATCGACCGGTTTTATCTTGCGCGGAGTAGGAGTCCGATGGCACGGCGGCGCGCGAGATGGCCGGAGATCCGTGTCCTACTCTTTTCCTCCTTCTTCTCCTCTTCCTCCGCCACTGTCTCCGCCGATACCGCGTCCGGCTCGGACGCGGCACTCGCTGTCCTTGCTCCAGTCCACGCGACAGTCGTCCTGCACCCGTCCGGCACGCGCGCACGCAAGCGACATTTTATTAATAATAATAATAATAATAAACTCAATACTGTTTATTCGTTTTATCGCGACAAGACGGCCGTGTTGTCCCTGTCTCGCCGGTCACTATTACAATATTATACGCACGTGTACGGGTAACCGTCCGCACCTCATCGCTCTGCACGGACGCGTATCCGTCCCGTCAACGGCCGGTTCGTAATATCATACTGTCATGACGTGCCCGATGTCGTTACTGTTGGCGTTGACCGTGGCCCTGGCCACGGCGGCCCCGCAGACGCCGGCCTCTTCCGCCGCATCCGCGTCCGCAGCCGCAGCGGCCGCCACCGCCGCGGCCGCGGAACCGACGTCCGTCGACGACGTCGTTTACGACCAGCGGCAGAACGGCACCGAGAACGTCCGGATCAGTCTGAGCGATCTGAAAGTGGTGCTGGCCCCGGCCGACGGTCTGTTCCAGATCATGTCCATGGCCGGCGCGCAGCTGCTCAACTCGGAGCTGGCCAACGCCGCGTCCGAGCACCGACCCACCGCTATCGAATGCAACGGGTTCAAGTGCAACAACCGGCACAGGCAGGCCGCCAAAAAGTCAGTGTAAATAACGACATTATAGTAATTATTTTAAAATGAATACGCATAAATATCAGATACCGGCTATGGGCGTACAAGGGCAACGGCAAAACTTCACGACGATAATCGTCGTCGGAAATAAATCGAATGTCTTTTGCGACAGTAAAACACATCATCATATTTATAATATATTTTTGTTGTATTATTGTACAGCCCTATATGAAATGCACGTCACTATTTAGTTCAAACGGACAATAAAAATTCATAAAAACCGATACGAATATAATGTAAAAGCACAAATTCGGTGTCATTTGATTTTCGGGAGAGGGTGGGCCCATTTACGTGACTCAGAGCCGCGGCGAAGTCACATTATTATAGACGTCAACCAAGCCAATTTGACCGACTGGCTTTAACTCAAAACATATTGGATTTTTTGGGTATCTAATGTCCTGGTATTATTATTTTCTGTGTATTGTGGTAGGTAATGAAAACAAATTTTAAAAAATAGCAGATTTTGCCCAGTCAGCCATCCGTCCATTTTCACCCATTTTTAGATGTAGATAATAATAAAGCACTATGTGTCCAGTAAATCACAAAAAAAAAACCAAACATCCTTTGGTGCCGGTTATATAAAAACAATATGTCCTTGTCCTGCTCGATTTTAATCGTTTATACTGCACGGTTTTCTTCCTCTTCGCCTTTATTCGAAAGGAAGTTGTCTGTTTTTTTTTTTTTTTTTTTTTTTTTTTTAATACATTATAATAAATTTAATAAATTAAAAAACATCCAGTAAACACTTTATCATTATAAACTCAGTATATATATATTGCTTTATTTTTGTTTCTATACGTGATAGTTAATTTATATTTGTCTATTCTAAAAACTTAATATAATAACACGGTATAGGTACGTAGTACAAATTGTTTTCCGTTCGTGTCGTTGAAATCCGCTATTATCTAGGTATATATTATTGATTCGTATTCATATATACGGTTAGATTCTTTCGTTTAAATTATTGTTATCATAACCGTTTTAGTCGTTCTAACCTAATGTTAACCGTATTATTTAAACACTTGGTGCGTGGAAAATAAAATTGATTCTCATACCAACAATTATTTTCAGGAACCGTTTCAAACTGTCCAGTCTTATAGGACCGTTATTGCAGAATAGCCAAGCCGAAAACCAGAAAATCGCCGAAACCGAAAGCAGCAGTAACAACAATAATAATTAAACGTTAACGAAGATATAAACGGCTCAAACGTAACACGCGATGATTAAAAAAAACAAAAAACCAAAAAAATCACTTATATACTATTTAAAAATTATTAATTAGACACGTAATATACTTATTAGAATTATATAATAATTATTCGCGAGTTACATTCACATTAATATTATACTCATAGTATGCGTAAATTTAATATTAATGTATTTGATAATGCATTTTTTTTATATACATATACCTGATATGTAAGTATTATATATCTATATATATATTTATAGGTACTATTACCTATAAATAAAAAAAAAAAAAATTAATAAAAATTGTAAAAAGATATACGTGTACGTTAAGTTTATATAGTTTAATAATTTATTTGTAAATTGTTCGCGTTCATATGTATAACCGCATATTATTTTAATGTTATCAACAAAAACTTGTACGAATATATTTTAACTACAAATATTATATCAATACATTATTGAATTATACTCTATTGTGTTTCTAATTGTATTGAACATACGATGGCGACATGGAGATAATTGCAGGGAGAGTAAATTTCGAAATTTGAGATGTCTTTTAACATATAATATAATTTGAGTTGCACACCTGTTTAATTTATATTAAAATATTTCAGACAATACCTCGTGCTTTTTAATACGTTTTTTAATACGTTTACGCCGTGCACTTCACGTATTTAGTAATTCACTAAAACCTCCAGAAATGTGTTTGAAGTTCATAAGCTAAACTTTTCGCCCCCCCCCCTCCAGCCGAAAATAAATCTTCGTCACGCCACTGAATGCAGGGTTTCTTCATTGCACGAATAATGTAATTATATATAATACTCTGAAATAAACACTGTTTATATAAACCGTTCCGAGTTGGGTTTATTTTGGCAGTTCACGATGCCTGCAGGTAACCCGTAAAACATACAAATGTACAGTAAAACATTATTTTAGATACTGAGTGAAGCGAGGAATATATTGGTTTAACAATGATGTTTAATTTTTATTTCTGTGGATAACTTTTCTACCAAAAATTTGTCTGCGATTTACAATGATAGCATTTTTTCTGAAAAAAATCGGACTAGGGAAGTACTTGAGGGAGGTTATTTTTCGATTTACCCAGGAGTTTTCCAGGAAAACCCGGGAAAAAACACGGGAAAACCGGGAGAACGGCAAAACAGGTACAGTATGAAACAAATGTTTAATCCACACGTAATTATTTTACCATTTATGACATATATATTTATTGACGAAGTCACACTATCAACCGAAGTTCGCTCAGGATCGTTTTTTTCGTTAGCAATGGTTAATCGTTGCTTACAGATGTACATTAAATTCCCGTCTATATCCCCCCGATACAACAGTGGCTGCACCCGTCCCCATTATCCTAGGACAGCTTTCCTTTAGGGTCTGATCACGCAGCAATCGGTATTTATGCGGGTATACAAGTAACCGCATTTAGCCCTCCGATAATATTGTTTTTTTATTTTTTATTGTAATTGCCAATGTGGTAGTGCAAATAAATCGCTCGGAAAAACCCGCGTTCGGTTCTTCGAGCCTGGTGCAGTTTATAGTCACGGAGTCTTTTATAAAAGTACATAAGACATATTATTTAATTTGTCCAGGACCAACGGATATTCCGTTTTTTTTTGCGATTTACTATATCAACGTAGTATTTTAATATTATTTAAACTCAACGAGGGTGAAACTGGATGGAGAGCTGCCGGGTAAAATTGCTCCCCTTCAAGTTACCCGAATTGGTCAAATGCGAGACTTTTGAAAAATATTACTATGTTTTTAGTGTATTATTTTTTAATATTTTTTTAACCATCATAAAACACAGAAAATGATATCGGGACATTATAAGGTACATACTCGTATATCAAGAGTAAAAATTCAATATTTTTTTGTAAAGTCAGTCGGCCAAATTGACTTGGTTGAAGTCTTTTACATATTGTATAACATGTTTATATCATGAAATGTATACAACAAATTAAATCCAATAAACATTTCCGTTACTGTATTGGCCTGTTTAACACGTGCATTTTAAATGCGTATATGTGTACTTTCCGTATTGTAATAAATAAAACAAAGTAATTCGAGCAATATTATATTAATAATAAGGATAAGTGTAATGTTACGAGACACGAAGAACTTGAAAATCTTTTCGAGCCATGTGGGGTGAGTTTCTACAACAGTTTAGCATCGTACCAATCCCCTAAAAAAAAATAATTACATTTATCCTCGAGGAATTCTAAAGAATTTTTTAGCGAATGACATACTTATATTTTTCTAACGATTTTATAGCGTAGTTATGCGTAACACAAAAACTATAGTATAACTCCAATAAAGTGAGTTACAAAAAAAGAAAAAAGGAACCTGCACAGAGAGTAGAGATTAGAGAAATTATACTCATTTCTCAAATCCAAACGTTAATTTACCAATATGACTTACTAAAAGTAAAATTGTATTTTATTTCCAATGATATTAAAACCGTAAGTAATTAAAAACTACTAAGTAATTTAAAAAGGAGAATATCTATTCTGGTAACTTTTTTCTTATCTTTTACTTTTGTTTTCTTCTTATAAAATATCAAAATTGTTAAAATTTAGTGCATTTGAATCTTTTTAATGCATTTTGGAGAGGTTTATGATAGGTAAATTTAAAATTCTTTACTATTTAAATTAATTCTCGCTTTTCTTTACTTATTTTTTCGACCGAATTAATTTTATACCTTACACAACTATAGAGGTACAAATTGTGACGAATTGCGAATTCTGCGTTTAACGATATGAGTTAAATTAGTGAAATTAGTGGTTAAATTTTATAATTACGATGGTTGTAACTGTTTAATGCGTTATCGGATAGCTAATTCACAGCAGTTATTTGGTACTGTCACTAAAAATGTTAAAGTCTCGTACATTTTCCACTTTCATATTTATAGAACCACTTTATATTTTGAGAACAATTTGGTCAAAATTGGGGGCCAATTCAATGGTCGCCCATTTTTGTTCGCTGTATTTTAACAAGTGGTGAGTCGATACCGACAAAAAATCGATAATCGACGATCCGATGTTTTTTTGAAACTATTAGCTGATATTCAAATTATCCGATATCTTAAAAAAAATCCAATATCCGATTTTTACCAATATAATTTAAATATATACATATTATATGAAGTTATAGTAACGTGTTAATTAATCTGAACACTTTTTTTTTCGAAAAATATCGGGTCTGATATCAATTTAAAAAAAAAAAAAAACGATAACCCGCGATTTTCCGATGTATTGCTGATGTCGGCCGACATTCTACAATGGCTCATGTGGACGCTCAATCCTAATGCGCACCGCCGGCGTGTATGTAGTTGCGGAACAAAAGTAGTAAACAAAAAAAAAATTAATTTTTGTTAGAACTATTTTGAATAATGATGAAGAATTATTTTTACAGGATGTTGAACAACAAGGAAAAGCGCATAAATTCATTCGTAAATAATATTTCGTTTTTCAATTATATTTTATACCGTCCCGGAATACCGATATAATGATAACAATTAATTGTACATGGGTACATTGAAAAATACGTCTCCGTAGCCCTTAAAATATAGTCATTATACAGGAATACCCACTTAACGAAAAACAAAATAAAATAAATTATAAAAATAAAACCAATGATTATGATAATACAATAGGTAATCGTAATAGGGATAGTAAAAAAAAAAAAAAAATTCCATAAATTATACTCGCTTAAATAATTATTACACATCGACATTCTACATTATAATAATACAATTTATTTACACGTAAATTAGAACTATATAAGGTACTTATACTAATAGTAACTGCGTTTCAAATTGGTAAATAGTGTAATTTTCGTTTTTGAACGGATCTATGTTGGTTTAGACGTGGTAATTTTTTCTCCGGGTAGTGACTTTTTGGGACGGCAAAACCGAATAAAATACTCAATAGACGTATCTTATTAGGTGTAGGGTATACTCGAATATCTATAATTCTGTGCGTATGTATATAATATAATATAATACCGGCCGGTAGCTAAGAGAGATAATTTTTGGGATTTCACAGTTGTTTTTCAGAAAATTATGAAAAACTGTATAAGTCTAGTGGAAAATCGAAGAAAAAAAAAACCAGATCGAACTAGATATAGACGTGCGGCGAGAATATTGTTTTTCGAATACAATTATTCTTTTTTGGTATTGATTTCAAATTTAAAAATAATAACATTTTCTTTTTTACATACCTACCAATAAAGTACTCTAATATATGTACGTGCGAGTTTTCGAGAATATTTTTTCTGTACCGGTTATAATAAGTAGGTGTATGATTTTAATAGTACCGTTCGTTATTTTTTATATATTTCACACATACACACGTCTCACACACACTCACGGATGTAATAAATTGAATATATTTTAATAATATAATTATTATTGAAAAAAATACTATAAATATTTTTTCGAAGCATGACGAAGGCGTTTGTTTTGCACTGCTGTAGCGTTATAGTAAGTAGGTACCGTTATTATAGGTAATGGATAGGTATACGTCTTATTGGGCGGTATCAATATACAGCCGACGATATCATAACGGGAACTCTTGAGGGTTGTCCAACTTACGGTCTCGCAAAGTCTTATTTTAGTCGATGTCTATCTGAAAAAAAAAAATGAATATGATTATTGAAAAGTATTTTTGTTTGTTTAAGGTATTCTGCGTACACAATTAAAAAGGATTAAGGATGGAATTGCATATCGAACATTTAAGGATCAAGGACACGGAATTGCTTAGGAAAGCTGTCTTTGGATAAAGGGGGACTGGTGCAGCCACTGTTAAAGGTAACTCAATGTGTATCTGTAAGCAACGATTAATCATCGCGAACGAAAAAACGATTCTGAGCGGAGTTCGGTTGATATAGTGATGCTTTGTCAACAAATTATATGTCATATTATGGTAAAATAATTACAAAACACACATGCATTATATATTTTCTTTAATAATATTCGTTTAACATATTGTACCTACGTTTTTCCTGATTTTTCCCAAAAACTCCCGGGAAAATCAAAAAATGTGCCTGCCTAAACTTTCCCAGCCAGATGTTCTTATAGAAAAAGTGCTATCATTGGAAATCGGAGCAAAAAAATTGTTCGTAGAAAATTTATCCACAGAAAAAAATAAAATAATTATCGTTGTAAATTCAATACATTCCTCGAACCGCTCAGAATTTAAAATTACACCGAGAGCTGAAGGATTTTAGTTTTGTCACGAAGAATCGCGGAGAGCTGCAGCAATAGTCAACCGTCAATCGAATGATCGGAGACTCGAAGAATAAATATAACCGTATGTATTTATATTGTATTTACGTATAAATTCATAACGCGAGCAAAAAAACAATATTATTGTGTATAAAACAAACGAGAATATTTTTTACATCTTCAGGGTGTTCGTGTTTTTCATTACTGTCATTTGCCTTTCTTCGAGATCATAATATATAGGTATATAGTATATACTGTTCTCCGGGTCGAGAATACTTGTTTGTTTTAGAACCGGAATGAATGTTCTTTGATATTATTTTATACTTCATGTACAATTGTTGTTAAAAAAAATGTCCGGGCGTGATATTGTGCTGCAAGGTCGTACCTATACTTGGGCTATATTGTCATCAATAACTTTATCTAACACTGTCAACTGGTAACGGTTTAGATTTCGAAAATTATATGTAACGAAATATATTTATTATGATATTTTTCCCGTAAGACACACAGGTGTATAACGAGTGTGTCACACACCCATTATGTCGGAAAGTTTCATTATAGTAAGTAGAAAGCATACAGTAACTCCAGTAAATTTATTATATTATCTTTTTGGAAAATTTAATATCAAGCTCAAAGTTCTAAAATATTGCGCATTGCCCTTATTTCGCCCCTCCCCGTGTTTACACAGTCTTTTGATTTTCCTACGGCGAACTTAACCTATATAATGAAAATACTATTCACTTTGATGGAAATTAAGTTTAAATAAACTTGACTGTTGAAATTTTAATTCCCATCAACCCACGTTTATAGTTTAGATACACGCTACATACACACTAACTTAAACACGGTTAACTAAAGAGTTTGAATTTATTATCTTTATGAAACAACATAAAAACTAACTGTTTTAGTTTGGAACTGAGTTGTAATAATTCATATCACTTATATAGAGCGAATTCAAAATGGGAAAAAAAAAACGGTGTTTAATGTACTTATTTCAATTCGTCGTTCGAATAACCGTGATCTCATTTTTTTCCCCCTATAATAATATGCTTTACTGAGCTGAAGGACATCACGTTTCAAGATTATGTTTTTTTTTTTTTTCAAATCGTTTACTAAATTGATTCAAAGCCAATTTTTTCACGCACAATTGTTTTGCCAACGAATCGACCGCGACTTATTAATAATTTTCGTCGAAATTCGTATTTTAACTCGCGATTCCGCGTTATTGGGTTGAACGGCATGTTTCGAACATTCCATTATACGTTAATCTACAAGCATACAAAATATGCCCTTCCGAGCCATAAGAAAAATAAAAAAAATACTTGTTTTATATTTAAATACAATGTAAATCTCAATTATAGATGCTACACGGAAATAAAACGTGATTAATCAGTTTGTTAATTTGATTATGTATACGAAATAAACTAGTTGGGAAAGTATTTTTTTTTTCTCGAAACGGGCACTTTGGATCGAATTCAATCAGTCGTATCTAATATGTCCTTTTCGGTCCTATTCCTGCTCTTTATATCCTTATCGCCTCCACAGTCCACGTTCATTTGCAAAGTCTGGACTCTTACTGTAGGCTCTGCCGACTCGGTTTACATTCTACACCCTTACCGTAGTGCATCACTCATCCGTCTAAGCATTCTCGCTAGGTACACTCATATCTCGTAACATATTTTAGCTCTACGTCTTATCTATATCTTAACTAAATGACTGTGATCAGCGGGAGGGGGGGTGGAGACAAGGAGCGCACACAGCATACAATATTCGAATAGTTTTTTCGTGTCGATATGGGCGACGGCGAGCTGTTTGAGAAATCGCGTATTGTATAGTACTGCAGAGTAAGTTAGTTTAGGTTATTTTGGGATTATTACCGTGCCGGTGGCTGCAGTGCGGCGGCGTCAGACGAATTGCAGTTGGGCGTTCGCGGACCCGGCGAACTGATCGTACAGCACGTGTTGCAATACCGTCCGGGTGACGTTGTCGTGCCGGTAGCCGTCCAGTCCGGCGCCGCGGGCGGCCGCCGCGGCTTGCACCGGCGCTTCGTCTCCCAGGCAATACTTGAAGAACACGAATATGAACAGCGACACGAACAGGACGGCCAGCATCGAATGGTCAGCCATAATGTTGCGCTGGTTAGGCAGCGGATCAGGTCGCCCGACGCGCAAACACTTAACAGGAATATGCGGCGTGCCTGCGCCTGCACACTCGTATATATACGCACGCGGCCAGTGTTCGTCGTACGATCGCTCGCTTACGTTTGTTTTGTTTTTTTTTTTTTTTTCCCCAACACGCAAATATACATGTATATTATGTATTTCGTCCAGCCGTCAAACACGGCGCGAACGAGCGGGTATTCGCTCGGTCCGCTCAGCCTTCCTCCCCCCCCCGCGAGCGGGACCGGTCCGTACGGGTAGCCCCCACCGGACGTGCGCGTGGTTCCGGTGACATTGCGATTTTGTGACAACGACAGCGGCGCGGTGTCGACGTCGTGCATCGGGCGTTTCCTACGTTTTAATTCCGGGCACTCGCGTCGATCGTATTATTGTTGTTGCCGTACGGCGGCGGCGGCGTCGGCGTAGAAACGTACGCGCGGGGCGGCCGGCTGCACGGGTAATCGCCGTCGTCGGAATGGAAAGCGCCGCTCCGTGAAAATCGTATCGAGAACGTTACGATTTAAGTACGCGCGCGCGGATATGTTATTATCGCTATTGTTATTGTTATCATTGTAGGTACGTGACGAACGCGTGTGCGCGTGTGCGCGCGATGCGTTTCCGCAATATCCCGGGATACCCGATCGCATGGGCGTCCGTCCACGTTATTACAATGTCACCGCGCGTGTATGTCGCTCGATAACGATTAATAACGCGCGCACAATAACACGCGTGTTGTTATTATTTTATTTATTTTTTTCGCCGTTATCGATTTCTAGTTTCTTCTACGCTATTATCTGTACGCTCTCTACGTGGGGCCGCGGTTCCGTATTTCTTCCGTGAAAAACGAAAGCCGATACGTTGCGTAATGACGCGTGCGGTGTCGGCCGGCTCAAAGAGCTGCGGGTCCGCTACACCCCTGCAGCACCGCGCGCCGCGCGCGTTCCCAGTTGTTGACGGCGGTGGCGTAACTGCGTGGAACTTCTAACGCCCGGAGCGGAAATTTTGCATTACCTCCGGCGACCAGAAAAAAAAAAAACAAAACAAAAACCCGGTCCGATAATGTCTTGAGCCCCGGTTTGGGACGGTTCCAGGTCAAAATACCTCCGGTACAAAATGTCTTCTGAAAAAATCTCTAGGATTTATGTGAACATTTTTTATTGCCTATTAGTTTTGGACCGTGAGCAATCCCTATTAAAAAAAAAAAAAAAACAAAATAGAGTTTCGATTGAACAAAAATTAAATAAATATTTTAAAAAATAATTAAATTTAACAAGTCAACTGGCTTGAGCATCATAATTAACTCTCGCTGTATTCGTATCACACACCATACCTAACCCTAGAGCGTAAGAACTCGTAATCGCGAAAAAAAAAATTTCAGATAATACTACACAATACTAATATTGTGATTAGTTATTATTTCCTGTGGGATATTTATATTGGAGATATTTTTTACTGGAGATTTATTGTCGGAGATATTTTGTATCGGAGATATGTTGACCGCTCGCCGTTTGGGACCTCTAAATTTCACGGGCCACTGATTAAAAGGCCCGCGAAAATTCTCGGGCATACATCAATAATAATACCTAACTATTTTAGTATAAGCGTACGTAAATCGTTATTGGAAAATCTTAAGATTTCAATTTTGAGCACCGTCATTTTTTTAAGTTGTATTTTTGTCAAATATTCCCCGAAAATATAGACTGTTGCGCTGTATCGTGTATATTATGTACAGGGCGATTCATTAAGCATTCATTATGCATGCATCATTTTTATGGTTAAATTTTACATGCATTCAAATTTGGTTTTTAAATGAGAGAACGCATATTGAAAATTCCATAAATATATGGAGTGTTTGTTTAATCAAATTTTGGTGTTGACATTTTTGATTTCCACCGACCCGTTAACGAGATATTCCCCTATTATATTTGAATAGGGGAAGGGTAGTGGAGCACTATGAAAATACCGCTCGCCGTGCTGCCACACAAATGATGCGTATGGAATTAACTGTTTAAACAACTTTTCGTTCAAATTTCTATTAGAACACGTCGACATTTTCCCGATTTACAATTTGCATTAAAACATATAGTTCATATAGCATTCATTTTTATTTGAAAAACCAAAGTAAGTATCGCTACAGGATACCCATTAAATGTTGTAAAAAATCTATGTATTCGAAAATATCGGCATTAACCACACTTAAAAATTCCAGAAACCGGAACTTGAATACGTGCATGGGGACGGGTGCAGCCACTGTTACAGGTAATTTAATGTATAGGTATAGGTATACATTAAATTACAAGCAACGATAAATCGTTGCTAACGAAGCGGAGTTCGGTTAACATTGGTGCTTTGTCAACAACATATATGTCATATTATGGTAAAATAATTGAATACGCATTATATATTTTCTTTAATAATATTTGTTTAATGTATCGATTTTGCCGTTTTTCCTAGGTTTTTCACGGTTTTCCGGTATTTCATTTTTCGGTTATTCACATTTGATGAGAAAAATCCTGAGAAAATCGAAAAATGACATTCTCAAAGTACCTTCCCTGTCAGATTTCCTTTCATAAAACGTTCTATCATTGTAAATCGAAGCAAAATTGCTTGTAGAAAAGTTGTTCGCAGGGAAAAAAAAATAGTCTGTAATATTTTTAACCAATACCTATACTTCGTACATTTTCCCGTTTTTTTTTTTTTCTTTTTTTTTTCGGTTTTTCACATTTGATACGTATAATATTCATAGCTAAGTGCTCTTGCGATAATCATTCGTCAACTGCATACGGCACTTATTGTAGATTCGCGTCTGGAACAACTCGAGAAACATAACGAAATTTGCATTGTGTAATAAAAATCATTTTTTTGAATTTTCACGTCGTTGTCATTGTGTTTATAATTTCCGTCGCATTATACAAGAAACGGAGCGAGCAAAAGGGAATAATATAATAATATTAATAATACTAAAATAATATTAATAATACTATAATAGGTCCAATCGACCGATATTATGCGGTGAAAGAGTAGTATACCTAACTAAACCTTTTGTATAATTATTATGCTACACACCTGACAATCACCGATTTGTACGATATATTTTATTATTATCCGCCATTCATTGTAGCGGTGTTTATACAAGAGTATATACTCTATAGACGCGACTTTCTGTCTGGAGTTTCGAACTATACGACCGGATTCTGCGTGAAAGTCTAATAATACAAATTCAATGTAGCAATAAGTTTTGGTGGTTAGTGATATTACGGTATGATTAGGTGATGCATTAAATTAATACGCCTACAGGTACCTAACATCTTAAACAATAAACATTAATATACAAAACGTTCGGTTTTATTATTCGTCCTTTTCGCCTATATCCCGTATACAAGTGAGCTATACTCCAACGGTGTAACATAAGAGGTGGCCAAACTAACAGATATCTACTAAGGATCGACTTCCTAACGTAAATGTATAATTAATAATAAACATACATGTAATGCTAATAAGTCATAATAAAACTAAAATGTTTAGTTAAATACGTTTTTCACCACACTTTTATTAAGACCGATTATAATACGGTGTACACATTAATTGCCAGTGTAAACTCTGTTGAATTGTATTACTTGATGAACCGACAACAAAATAATGATATATTACGATAAAAATATGCAACAATTGTGATTTATCTACTAGTTCTATAGAAATAAGTTCTAACAAATGGAAATCGACTTTTAAACCGTCCGTGATCTACCGGTCGATCCCAATGTGTATGATGCAGATACTTTCAACGTTATATTTTACCAGATGGGACAAGTGTCCTGATTAATGTTGCGATTTTTAATTTGTTTTAATAACGCGATATCATAATATAATAATATAGAGATTGACATATGTTATAAGTACACAATGTATACGGGTATACTTTCAAGCGATGCCGGCGTAGGCGTTTTTTTTTTTTTTTACAATTGTTTCATTACAATAGAATACACGATTGTAATAATAATTTTATACTTATTGCTTTACAACAATAAATTAGTCACAGTTTATTTATAATGACATATAATATAATATATTACGTTTCATCCAATTGTTACAACGATATAATATAAGCGACGTCTATCCCGAAGAGCGGTTTTCTCCACAGTTCAACTAGTAAGTATCTAATTGAAAATGTAGCTCATATAGATAGATAAGTACATTATAAATTATAATAATTAGTTAAAACTTAACTTATATTATTATTATTTCCATTCGCGGTATTTTGTAAATATAAATATAATAATTTTTAAATTTGTTAAATTTGATAAAATTTTACGCTGGTAATATTTAATTTATACCTATGTAAATAAAAAAAAAAGTTGTTTTTTGTACAAAATAAATAACATGTGTTGTGTGAACGGTTGAAGAGATGGACGAAACCATTGCTGGAATGACTCCAGTGTGATAGCATTGTATGACACCAGAATTCCTTATTCTCCGGTCATCATTTCCATGAATTCTAAAAAAATTTCAAAAATCAATTTACATTATTATAGTAAAAAATATTAAATTGCAGCGAAATAACAGAGAAATAGCAGTTATCTGTAAAATGAAAATCGTATCATAATCTACGTGTTTGGTCTCGGGTATTCCTCTATCTCCAATAATTGCATTATTGTCCAGTGATGAGATAGAAAATTGAATTAAATAATAATATATAATCAGACTTGGGCGAAATTCTTTTTAAGAGTATTTAGAATAAGTATTCAAATACATATACAAAAAAATAATATCAGAACAAGTATTCAAATGATATACAATAGTAAAATACACGTTAAAAAATAATGCAAGGTTAAATTCGATTCAAAGGGAACTATAGTTATTGTATGATGATTGGTTACGTGGTTATGCATTATGCTTTAACTATCGGGAAATCCGGAAAAAGTTAAAATCAAGTACCACCGACTGAAAAATTGCGCATCTTATAAAGTTATGTGCGAACAAATCAGTGTACCGAAAAAGTGTTTTCCGAAAAAATATAACAAATTTCTCGAAGTTAAGTATTTCACACTTTAAAACGAGACTAAAAAAAAGTATTGTTTCAAAGAATTAAATACATTTTAAAACTATTCAGAATGCGTAATGCGTAATGCAGAACAGCTGAAAGTTAAAACCCTGCGATGAAAAATTATTTTATTAGATAGTTATGGCCATAGATGGTGGCGAAAAGAGTCGTTTTAAATATTGAGCGGATCATTGTACTTACCTATCATTACCTGTATGAATTAAAACCCACGGGATTATCAACAATATTTGGTCAAATTATATTTTGCATTCAGAGATATAAAATAAAAATTCATTTTTAATTTCGATAACTATACATGTGTGTAAAATCAATGTCGCTAAGACAATATTTTACTTAGGTATAGGTATGTACTTGTATAGGTTTATACCTATGCATAGTTATGTAAATGTTTTAATATAATTATAAGTTTTCGATACCGGCTATTGTAAGCATATATGCTTTCCAAATTAGTATTACCCAATGGTTTTGAAATAATTATAACAATAATACACTATAAAGTAACAATACACTGTATAGTTTAACAATACATTTATATAATGTCAAATTATCAGATTTCACCAATATAAGAATGAATTGGGATGCATATTAAACATATACGGTGAATATTGACAATGCGACGGTATAGGTATTGATTTTGTATTTTGCATATTCAAATGTACACAGATAATAATTATCGATAGTAATTAAATAATACTTATTATTTTGATACGAATCGAAAAGTGCAGAAATATACTCACCGTCGAAGTCTACCGTTCCGGAGCCATCGGAATCGATTTCGTCAATCATCATGTCTAATTCCTCGTTGGTCAGCTGATCGTCGAGCTCTCTCAAAATTTCTTTTAGGCAAGACGTAGGGATATATCCGTTTCCTTCTTTGTCGTACAACCTGAACGCTTCACGCAGTTCTTTTTGCATGGCCTCATCGTCTTCTTCAACGATGAACTTTGCGGCCAGTGTCACGAATTCGTCAAACTCCAAACGTCCAGATTCTTTAAATGAATACAATTATGTAATCCGTGTTATATTTAAAACTGTGATATTGTTCAAGATAAATAAATTATTACTGTCTGCATCGACTTCTTCGATAAGTTCGTCGAGAATTTTCTTGTTGAACGGCTGTCCCATGAGTCGTAAAATATCAGCCACCATGTCTGTGGGTATGCTGCCGGACCTTTCGCGATCGAATGCATCGAAAGCTTTCCTGAGGACTGAATATATTAAAAAATCAATATAAATATGTATTAGATTCAAACTATTTCCTAAAAATTATAAACACACAAATTCTGTCTAAAATTAATTAACCTAATTATTTTAACCACACATACATAATATATGCACATATAATGTGTTCGTATTTAATATTGTAGTCGACTAAAATAGGAAATCCGGAATTATAAGATTTTTTTTGTACATACGATATGCATCTTTCCATTTATATAGCTAATCAATTTCAAACTATATAAACATAGTAAAATACTCGTAACGTCCAAGTCTTAATTAACAACAATTTTGTCAATTAGTAAATAAAATATGCCAACAAAAAAAAAAAAATCTCAAAATCGTATTTTTACGCCGCTGCAGTTTTATAATGTTTACGTTAGCCCGTTGATATACCATATCGTTCTTGGCTGCTCAATGCCGTTGAAATAAAGCCAAAATATTACTACGTAGGTACCTATATTTATTACATTATATATGTATATATCTACTCATTCAAATTTTATTGCGATCCGTTTGGTGAGTTAAAAAAAAAAAAATTAAAATATATGTTAGTATGCTGTATCGACGATTGTACATTTTTCGATTCTTCACTGCGAATGGTGACATTTAAAAGGTGGAATTTTTACGTCTCCCAAATGCATATTTCCCAAATTAAATTCAAATGACACGGGTAAGTATTTACCATTTCATTATGGCTATGGATGACAATTATGTTTTCAGGTCTATAACTGTGTATACCAAATGCAGGTATTTGTTGGTACCTACATATGGTATAACTGACACACACAACCATTTAAACATTTAAACGTCGTTTAATAGTATAGATTAATAATATGTAAGTGTTTGATGACGTTACAGAACAATCATTTTAAACACATAAACTATTAATGTGATGAAATCGGTAAAAAAAGTCATCATACATAATTACTGTATTTATTGGAGATAAAAAAAAGGAATTTATCAAATTATGTTGTAATATAAATTATTATAACTCTATTATCCATTATAGTTTATCGTCAGTTAGTATTAATCATCGTGATATTTTTTTTGCGGGTATATCATTATTTTTCAAAACACAAACAGTTCATTAAAATGTTAAAATGTTAAAAATAAATTTATTAGGTATAAGTACACAAATATTGGAATATTAAAGGTTAATAACAATAGTTTTATTTATTTGTTTGACATTTACAAAGTATAATATTTATATTATATTAAATCATTGATACAATTATTCGTATACAGTACATGTAGATGTCAGAAGACCTGTTTTGTGACAAAAATAAATTAATTTAAACTTTTAACTATATTTTGTTGTACGTATCTCTTGAAATTACAAAAAATAAAAATCATATATTATATTTCACATACATTGAGATACATACATACTATAGGTATTATATTAGAGCATAAAAACCATTTACAACGAATATTTTAATAAACGAATTTACAGAAATTACAGATATGTTCGATATTTTTATATTTATAATGAAAAATAAATTTTGTGTGGAATACTTCTGTAAGCTATTCCTGTGGGAGGGAATCAGAATACGCCCTCACAATACCATACCCGTTGTAAGAGGTGACAAATGGGATTGCGTCAGGTAGAAAACCTGTGGACACATTTTTTCAGATAATTTGAGTTGTCCTAAATAAGGTTTAGGTGAATTGTCCCACTCGGATGTATTAAGGAACAAATAAAAAAAAAACAGGACGTGTAACGTAGAATTGAGTGTAGTTGGATAAAGTGGAGAAAGGCGTCAGGTGTTTTATGTGACAAGAGAATTCCAACGAGATTTAAAGGTAAGTTCTACTAAGTGTGGTGAGTCCGACTATGTTGTATGACTTGGAGTGTTGGGCGGTAGAAAAATAAATAAAACAAAGAATGGGTGTACCCCATATATGAAAATGTATAGCTGGATGAGTGGAATGGCGAGGAAAAATTGGATAAAGAACAAGTACATAAGAGGCAATATATAGGCATGGTTTTTATAGAAGAAAAATGAGAGAAAATAGACTGAGATGGCTTGGGCGTGTCATTAAGAGTGCAGAATCAGAATAATTAGGAATAATAATGCAAATAAACGTAGGAGAAAAGAGAAGAAGAGGAAGACGGACAAAAAAGGTGATTGAATGCAATTAAGATTTGATATGAGGACACTTAAGGACAGTCAGTGTATGCGAGGTGGGAGATCGGCTTAAATGGAAGTTTAGGACGAGCGTGGCTGACTCAAAATATTTAAGATATAATGCGAAAGAGAACAACGATAAGTAGAAGAATACGTCTATAAGGTATCCGTGGGAACCATCGTATGGTTTTCAAATGCTGGATTTTGGTATCCCCTTATAAAAAAAGTATCTGCGAGACGGTCGTGGATCTAATATCTCATTTACTATATAAGGAAGCTAAATAAGGTATATGGAACATAATACGTTTGATAAAATAGTCGCTCTTACTAGCGCCATAGTTTCTGTACTCAAGTTCTGCAAGATTTCACAACAATTTGACGACTCTATGTAATAATAGTGTTATGCTATTCGCAATTATTGTTATAGATTTAATCGTTGTAAACGGTTTTTATTAAACCATTTTATGATTATCTATACCCACAGGTATTATCTATACCTACCAATTAGGTTAATAATAATGCAAATCTCACAAGGAAATTAATTACACTGACGTATACATGACAATTTAATTATATTATACTTAAATTTAAAATTCGTTCGTACAAACAGTTTATGTGTAAAATATACTTATTAAACAATAAAAAATATAAATAAATAATACTGTAATAATATTGAAACATTATATTTCATACTCACTATACTACACAATACTAGCTGTCTACAAATATACTATCTAAATATATATTTCTTCTTAATATAGACTCTCGAACCATACAACGAATGTGTTTACGTACCATAAACAATTTATATTACTGGCACTTGTTATGATCATATATTATGAAATAATAACTAAAAACGAAAAATAATTTGTAGAACAAAACATTAAGTTCGAATTTGCAAGAAAGATTTTTTTTTGTTTTAATTTTTAATATTTTATTAAGTACAATTTAATATTGTAGTTTGGCTATATTCATTGAAAATGTAAAGAGCAAAATCTGGTTAAGCAACACGCCGCAAACAATAAATTTAAATGGGTATTGTTTGGTCGGATATAATAGGTACCTAGGTATTATTAAAATAATTAAAATAGGTAAATATTTAACTCTGGGTACTTAGGCTGGTAGGTAGGTAGGAAAGTTAGTAGGTAGCTTAAATAATGATTTTTTTAGAGAAAAAAAACTAATTTAATCGACTAAACATTATTATGTGGTATATAAGCAGGAATGCCAGGAACTCGTCGTTTGAATGGTAAAAAATTAGTGTCATCGAATTATTTGTTTAGATTAGTGGAAAAACACAAATAATATGAGGCATATTAATAATATGGTAAAAAATAATGTAGTTTTTCGAAAGCTGTTAACCCATAGTCGTATACTGGCTAAGCGATACCCGCCGGTAAAACCTGGGAATAATACAAATATATAAACCAAATAATACGTAACTGAACACATTACGTTACCGCCATGCAAAAAGTGACCAAGCGTAAAAAATGACATAGTATATATATATATAAAAAAAAAAAAAAACAAAGTCGAAATGTCTCAATTCTGTATACCAATGTGTATAAACGATTTAGCCTTTAGGAATCACTTTGTAGTTCGTAGTTCTTAATCGAAATCGAAATTGAATACAACAATAATTTAATTTCAGATTTTTAAGAAAAAATATATATTTAAATCAGTCACTTTTTGCACGACGGCGACGAATAGCATACACGCAAACAATATCATGTTCCATTATTCCGCCGGAATAATTATTATTTTATACGTCTATTTCAGTAAAGATGTATTTTAATATTGCGCAGACTCTAATTAATATTATTTTACATTCGATTTTATGATTTTTATATGTTATGTACATTTTTTTTTTTTTTTAATAAATACGTGTGTTCGTACATAATATAATAATATATTAACCATGTTCATTATAAGAAAAAGTGTATTTACACTTATGACATACTAGAACAAATAGAATAATACACCACTCACACCGTCAAACGTGTAGGTTTCGAATTTATCTGATAGTGTAAAATAAGTAATAAAATAAGTGTATATTTTTTGTGTATTGTACTATGTAATATAATATTATAATCTACACAATAAAATCGAATATTCAACGAAAAATAATCGAATGTATAAGCACAAATTATAATAATTTTGAATTAATTTTTTACTGTATACCCGCCTCTTACCTCTTAAGTATAAATAAATCAAAATCGTTTACGTTCGAGCATTGCTCTGCTCTTCGCGCGTCTATAATATAGTATTATGTATGATAAGCAGGTAAGGTACTGTTTTACCAATAACGAGTGGATAACTCGGGGGTCTTTAAACCGTATAAAATACGTTCGGTTCGGAGTTCCACATCTAAAAAAATGTTAAGAACGCGTGAATACTACGATGTCTGGAACTAAACGTCTGGAAACAATGTAATCTCATCGTATTCGTTTAGTTCGGTTGTACGATTAGTAAAACATGTGCGTACCAGGATTTGTAAAAATCGGATGGGAAACCGAAATGAGATTTCTGTTCTATGCCGCGGTTATGAATCTACTCGGGGATAGGATTTCACGCAAAACGTGTTGACATTTATGTTTTGACGGAGACCGTTGAAGGTATCAGTGACACATTACTATTATGTGTGCGCGCGCGTGTGTGTGTGTGTGTGTGTGTAGTTTTTTTTTATTCAGTGAATTAACAAGGAAATGCATAATAATATAAACCGGGCGAATTTATAAATCGGATGAACGATATGCTAATTTTAGGTCGCCGGTCATAATACTCATAACCGATCCAGCGTTCTATTATGGATGTGCCAACTGAGCGGCGTACGGCCCGTGCCAAGAAATTTATTATTATTATATTAATAAGCGTGTGTACGACACTAAAAGTTAATCGTGTGCGTGATGCATGTTGTGTGTATAAATGGGAAAAAGAGTAAAATTTTCGCGTGTAGAAAAAAAAAAAAAAAAATGTAAAATCCGAATTAAAAATAGACGACGAGTCGTTTCGGATAGCGCTATAATATTTTTATAATAATAATGTACACTTTAATAATATTATATTAAATTGCGAAATAATTAGTTATCAGAAAAAAGAAAACCCCCCCAACGATATGTTTTCGACTCGAATAGAAATCGGTTTAATTCGTATAGCTGTCAATAATTTTATAATCCAACGTAATAATATAACGCGTAGGTACATTTTTTTTGTTTTTTTTTTTTTTTTTAACACAACATTATTATTATTGTCCTTATAAACTAATATAATATCGATTTGTTTTCGTGTATTATAATATATGCTTGTATACAGACGCGATGGTCTAAGACTAGTCGACTACAATAATAATAATAATAATAATACAATATTACCGGGCAAAATTAATTTATATTGCGTATTTGTAAATTGTAACGAATAATGTCATAACCATTTGTGCAATACGATTTAAAACCAAACAATATTGCGTCGCCAATAGGGCCGTTCATTGCTGTAATTTCTAGTTTATAAAAACCGTATTAGGTCCGCGATTTAGCGAATATCAATATTTTGTTTCGTTTGAGCTTTTCGACGATAATATTATGAAGTATTATTATACTATAGCGTTTTAAAATACAAAAAAAAAAAAATAATAAATAAATAAAAAACGACGTATTTTTCGCGAAAATATAATTTTATCATTGTAATATTACGCCTCTCATACAGATTTTCCGGCGAACGAATTATACACTTATAACTAGTTTTAAATTTTTGTTATTTTTTTTTTTTTTCTAATTTTAAACTTCAAATTTGCCTTTATCGAGTAAAAATAATAATAATAATGATAATAAACGCAACACACGATGACGTTCACAAATAACGTGCGTAATTACCTGAGATTTGTTCAGGCGGTAAATCTTCCTGCGAAAAAAAAAAAAACAAAACAAAATAATAAATACACAAAATTATAGAATTCAGCCAAGAATATATATATATATATATATATACACGGTGATTTGGGCAGTGGATACAACGCTGGTGTGGAAGAGATAAACTGAATGACAATTTTTATTTGGCAAGTGTGTATAGTCGTATACCTACAACTGTGTAGTACAATTGTATAATATTATTGAATCGAATTTCAGAGAGAGAAAAAAATAAATAAACGATCGGCGAAACAATAATTGCCTGCCGATGTGCCAATTTACGAGTATCTCCGCCGTCGCATCTCTATGTCCGTTTGGCAAATGACAAACGGACTTCGGCGTCCGGCAAGACGTGCGTCTTACGCATAGACACGCGACGCGTGAGTACGTTTCCGTTTTCGTTTTTTTTTTTTTATTTTTTTTTCCTACACGGTAATAATATTAACTTAACGGCTACACACGACAATAATAATAATACGTTATATTATATACGCAAGCAGGTATACGCGTATTATATAGTATGGTAAATTGCCAAATTTCCATTCATAAATGGTTAAAAGGCGGCGATATTTACGGGTCGCGCGCGAGTACATGTCATCGTAATACGATTTTACGCGTTGGAGACGGTCGCGCGGGGCGCATTTTATCGCGGCGTTGTTTCGACTTACCATTTTGAATCGAGCGAATCGTTTGCGTTTGCCTCGAAACCGGACGACGGGACGGCGATGTGGACACGGGAACGGTTTTCGGTGTGGTTGGAAAAAAAATAATTTGCGCCGTGCTATACGTTCGTCGCTTGTGTGGACTGGAGAAGTGAGATTATTGCACTGAAACGCTGGCCCGCACCCCCACCGTTTCGAAATAATTATCCGCTGCCTTTGGGTCCCGGTCGTGTGATGCTGGTAACGCGCTATATAGCCGAAGTCGAGGAAAGGGACGATGTGAAAATAAAACCGATAAAATTAGAACTTTTGGAAGACGATCGTCGTCTACGCGGCCGCGTGTGTGTGGTGTGTGTGTGTGTGTGTGTGTGTTGCCCGTGTGATGTATACACACGTAATATATACGTATGTTCAACGGCGTCATTTCAGACCGATGCAGCACGTACGGACTTACACATCACGCACACATCGTCACAACAACACGCATCATCGCGAATCCGCTTGAATTTCCGAGAAAGAAATAATAATAGTAATAATACGACATTATTATTACGACTCGAAATGATTATTTGTCATTATTAATACATTTTTTTTTTTACGTGCATACGACAGTATATTACCGTTATAATATAAACCGGTGAAGCCAGACGCCAAACTAAATACGTTTTTGCTCGAATCGCGGATAAGGGAGATTTAGGGGTTTTACCTCTCCACCTACCAACAATAGAACAGATAACGTAGTGGTGTATTTCCATCAGTATCCATTGTAATACTCTAAACAAAAATTCACAAAAAACACTTGATAATGAAATGAGAACGTAACATGATGTGTAAATATATACACGTGTCTTGGCATAACATGTAAAGCGGTATAGCTATAGAATATTATACGGAATCTGCACCTCTATAACTACAGATGCATCATCCTCCCAGGAAAATGTTGAGCAAAGACAGGATTGTTTTATCATTCGCATTAATGTATTTTGTTTTCATTGTTTATATTAGTCGTGAATAAGTGATAACACATGATTGAATCCGTTTTCTAACAAAATGCTACACCTTAAATACGTTTTCGCGCGCATCGGTGTAGAAAATATTCTTTTAAGATTGGAAAAAATAACTGTAAACGTATTTAACACTCAAATAACGTGAACTAGTAGGAAGACAATATGAACACGGCCCACGCCAATGGCGATGGGAGGTGTTATATAGCTTCCCCTGACTACACCTCGAATATAAACGTACTAGACAAATATAACTACTGGCGTAGGTAATAAAAAGTAATAAATAATTAGTTTACGATTATATAATCAGAAATAAATTAAAATATATTTTTAACACTTTTAACAATTTTTCGTTGTTATTGTGGTTGACAAAGTGTTAGCTAACGCTCTAAACGATTTTAAAATTTGTTTGCTTTTTTTTTTATAATAAGTAGTTTTCGATGCCGAATCTGATAACGCTTTAAAAATTGGCCACTCGTATAGGTATAATAATATTTAATTTTCGTACACGGTGTAGATACTGAAAACGTGTTTTTAGTGAAAAATGTTTGCTGAGAATATTTTACGTTACATACATTTTTGTATGTTACTTAATTTCAAAGTTATTATTAACTATAAACACGATATCCAACTAGTAGCTCTGATGGAACATTTAATGTTACTGTAGATGTCTACGCTAAGTATTAAAAGTGAACAAACACGTGAAAGCTGACTAGTTTGAGTGAATAATATATTCGTATAATCTTTAGAAGTTGAGTCAGCAGAGTCTTAAGCCATTTGTATTATTTGGATTTGGAAAATTGCGTTAAAATAGAATTCATGTTGTAAAAGTAAATATACATATATATATATTTTTAATCATAATTCAAAAAGTAAGTACAAACGACCAAGTTTAATCAGATAATCGATTTGAAAAAAAATAAAAACATAATCGGTTGGTCGTGCTTAAATATAGATTTATGTCGAAAGATAAAAATCGAGGTTACTACTGTCAAATTCAAAATGCAATAATTATTAGGTATTCGAGCTTATCTATTATATACAATATACAAAATCGCTGTCCCGGCAACCTGCATATATTTTGTTTTATAAGTTTATAACGGTTACATGATGTGGCGCCAAAATAAAGTTTGCACACCAATCTCGGATCAATGACAATTTTATATTTGTACTCCTACGTTATTATCGCGGGCAATTTTGAAGAGTTCCAAAGGAAAATTATATAATATGATTCAACATAGTATTTACTTACGCAATTGAACAAACTCCAGTATCAATATTAATAATAAGCCATGTGGCTTTGTATGTAATTTTCTTTATGAAAATAAAACTAGAAATGTATAAACTTATAAGTATAATAATAATAACAACAATAATGATTTAATACAGTGAAGCGGATACGTAACAATGAACTATTCGTATTTGACCGGATGCCAAAAATATTTTCACAATACATAATATTATATTGGCGGTGGGTAAAAAAAAAAAATCAGAATTTAAAGCCGGGGTAGGTTTTTTAATGTAAATATTAAAATATTGAAAACATGGAACCGACGATAAATAAACGTTATTCATATACGTACGTTATTCGAAAACCAATACTCTGCAGCCAAGAATTCATACACAAATCAAATTTCTACTATCGTTTGAATTGGGTGGGTAAATGCCCATAGTTTTTACTCATTTTTCAGTTTGTTAGCATTTTTAAGATAGGTATTAAACGGATAAATTTGAAAAATAACTTCAAAGTACTTCTTATGTGTATAATCAATTATTTATTAAGTTGCTGGACTGGAACTTTTTACTGGCTAAACGTGTTTTTTTTTTTTTTTAGAGAAACACACTAATGTATATTGGACCACGAATAAATTATATGGATGTATAGATATATAACTTTCTCGTTGTAGAATATAAGTAAAAAACCATAATAATAATATTATTGATGGTTGTTATTTTTTTATAAAAAAAAAAATATATAGATTGATCATTTCAAAAACTATTTTACAATAAGTATCTATAGGTCGTATATTTAATCTTTTGTACATGTTACAGTTAATGTTGTGAATCGGTTAATGTCGTTATATTTATTTACAATTAAACCGATTTTTGTCTGATACTTTTAATATTATAGTGTACTTATTGACCTATTATCAAACTTGACAGTAAGAAAATTGTCTGTGTTTGTAGTATTTGAACGTTGGTTTTTTTTTACGATATTTTAATTTTTAAACCAAATTCGATGATTTTTTCAAATTGAAATATTTCATATATTTGTAACTCGCTTGAAAATTAAAATGTCAAATAAAAACCTAACATACTAAAACCTTTCCTTTTAGTTTGATAATAGGCTAATACACTCTAATATTAAAACTAATAGTATAATTTCGGTTTTCATACACAAAAAGTATAAATTTAACGACATCAACCGATTTTACAATATTAACCGTAACGTGTAACACATTTTATAATAATAATTGTTACAACATACAAAATGTTTACACTAATATTAATTAAATAAACTATACTTAAACATATACTTATATATATATATACAGGATATTACAAATAATTAATTTCAAGCGAATTTGGTTTTGTATATAAGGTTCTAAGTTCTGATGTTGCTGCAGATGATACGACGATGACGAGGAAATTAATATACCCTGCGGTAGACGCGGTTTAAGCCAGATATTTCTTGTTATTTTTCTCTAATAATATATTAAACTATTAAAGGACTTAGCAATAGCTAAGTTAGCTTAGCTTTTTGTGAAATATTTAAAATCTTTCTTTGATATAGTCAGCCCGATTTAATTTCATTTTCATTAAACCTTCTCTGCTAGATTAATTGCAGTTTTTACGGTTGGAATGACATGGTTAGTTTTTGATTTTATTAACCTTGTTTAAAAACGTTATGTGTATACATTCGTTATTCGTACGTATAATAATATGAAAAAATAATTTGGACCCGATCCAGAAAAAAGTTCAAAAACCGCTATTGATCTAAGATATGACGCGCGCCTGACAACAGCTTTTTTGCTTAATTGAAATTATTGCTCTTTTAATATTATTAATTTTGCATTTTGTTTTAACTTTGTCTTCGGTCATTTTACGATTACTACGTTAAACTAGAATACAATATTATGGCATTTGTGTAACCTAAAAATATAATGAGATCATAGCGCCCTTTAAAAAATAACAATTGGAAGTTAACTCTCCCCTATCTTACGTCATGCATAATAACTCGAATAAAAGAAAAATATAAAAAAAAATCATAGAAATTTGAGCAATGATCTTATGCAGTAGGGACTTACTTATAGTCTATAGCTAAATAGCCCAACGGGAAAATATGGTTGTGAACGAAAACATTTGTTTATGACTCATATAGATAGTCATGAAGTTTTTAATTAGTACCCTTATTAAAACGGTTTTATAAATTCTTATGGTAATCTTAAAATAGAATATTGGTAGGGTAGGCATAATTACGCAAGAAACGAACTTATAATAATTATTATTTATTTATCTAATTACCTATTCATAACACATATTTTAAAGTATTTTTCTCTTTAGTGCCCCCTCTCCTAGAAGAATGTTCAAAGTATTCGATTCCCCCCCCCCCCCCCACTAAATACTTAAACATTTGTTTGCTTTCCTTTTGGAATATTAGATTATAAAAATATGAATAAAAATAATAATAATAATTGGAACGAAATAAATATACACGCACATAACAACGTTCTCGTAAAATTATATCGTAAGACGGAAGGCCAAGTTTCGGCGGCGGGTGGCCGGTATATATTTTGCTAATGCTTAATGCGGTAAAGATATACATAAAAAAATAAAAAATAGTTTTACAGAATGTTTATACGATTTAATAATAGATTGCATGGCCCAAACATCATATATCCCGCACACGGACCCATTTACTCGACGCGGCGGCGTTCAAGATTATCACACTGACACCATTTATTCGTCTTCAAAATATTTAAACATCTTTACGTATAATATCGTATTAATTAATGTCGTTAAATATACGGTCAATAATAGTATAATTACTACTATAAAATATAGGTACCTAAATATATGGTATATTATATAATATATGGTACTTAGGTATATTATAGGTATCAACCGATGTAGCCGAGGGAACTAAGGGGGATGTATAGCATGTATGTATGTATGTATGTCACAATTTGAGTGTTAACTAAGTTTCCAGTTACTTCTTCCGCTCATAAAAGAACGTTATTCTAGATAAAATCGTATATGAAAACTTATTTAACGAGGAACACTGTCAGACAATATTGACTTCGATCAATTAATCATAGCTAATATAAATAAAAGTTTAGCAGGTCATATACGGAGAACACAAGATCAGACAATCCGAGAGGCAACAAAATGGATCCCTAATAGAATGTGACCACTAGACGACCAAAACAAAGATGGATGAACAGAGTTAGGGAGTGCTGGGAGTAACAGACAACGAAGAATTAGCTTTCATTGGTATCTACTTGTCACATAAAATACCTGACGCTTCCCTCCACTTAATCCTATGTTTCTATTCACATTAATTTATTAACGTATACTCTACTGACAGCAACTGATTTAACTCAACTAAGCATTATACCTACCTCAAACATAAAAAAAAGGATCTGATACTGGTCACGGGTGCAGACACTGTTGTAGGTAGGTATAGTTAGAAAGGTTACATTAAGTACCTAACCTACGATAAACCATTGCTAACAAAATATGATTCTGAGCGAATTTCGGTAATGCGTGTTCTAAAAAACCGTAATATTTACGATTTTCGTCAAAATTTGATATTAAAATGTGAATAAAAAAAAATACTAGATTAAACTCAACTTTTTCTTGTAGGCCGCTAAGTACAAATTAAATTTTCAAACATTTCTGTTTGGTCTAACAGTTTTATCTACAGAGTACCTACCAAAAAATAATAATTACCTACCTACGTATACAATTCGCAAAATTAAAATGTCTATAAATAGCTTAAAAATGGCTCAAATATTATGAAAATTTTACCATGTCAAAGAAAGAAATATATACGTTTTCTGTCTAAATATAAAGTCTATGAATGTGTTTAACTTAATTACAACAAAAAAAAAACCAAATTGAAAATAAAAGCATTATTTTAGTCAATTTCCCCGCTCTTTCTACGTTTTTACCGGTTTACCTAATTATTAAAAAAACTACAAAGAAAATCAAAAAATGACTCTCTTGGTCTCCAACTAGATAAAAAATTAAAAAAAAAGATGCATTTTTGTTTTTCTATTAGATCAATATTTCTGGTAGAAAACATAAATTTCAAAAATTAAAAACAATGAAATCGGTAACGCCGTAATATTTGCCCGTTTTACCAATCATTTTCTATTGATTTTTTCACAATTATTTCAAAAAATCCCTTTAAAAATCAAATAATAACCCTGTTCAATGCACTTATCACACTACTACCCTCAGAATAGATGCTACACTGCTACACTCTGTACATCTGAGCAAAATTTCTGGTAGAAAAGTTGTTCACTGCAGAAAAAAAAAGCACACGTCATAGTAAAACTAATAAATCCCTCACTACGCTCCGAATCTAAAATATAAAAATGTCTGTATTGTATGTTGAATGTACACAATCTATTTTTGGCTGTTAAAAAAGGACTATGTAGGAGTTTACATATAGCCCAAAATATTACGCTACCTACACCTAACGTAAATTTAAAGTATTCGAGAACCTTCGCGACCAAATATTGAAGAAAACACATTTTTAAGGGTCTCATGTATTAGTGTAGTGCTTACATAAAAATACCGCACAACAAACATTAACCCGTAGGGTTATAGGTAAGTATAGATAATTATAGTTTCCCATTTTGATATTGCATTATAGATTCTGAGCGGAACAAGGAATGTACTTAATGGTTTTACAATGATGTTTTTTTTTTCCCCATAAACATCTTTTTTTCCAGAAATTTTGTTCTAATTTTCAAGTGTAACACTTCTTCTTAAAAGAACTTTGACTGGTGTGGTACTTTAGTGTGGTCATTTTCCCTAGGGTTTTCATAATAAATGGGAAAAACCGAGAAAAAAGGTAGGATAAACGCGAAATTTATTATTTTATTGTATATTGCCATTTTATAATAAATGATTACGGCCTTTCAAAAAATGTATAACTTTACTCTGCTCAGAATCGTTTTTGGTTTGCAAAATTTAATCGTTGCGTATCGATATATATTAAATTTTCCTCTATAACCTATCTTCCCAATAACTCACCTATAACAGTGGCTCACTCATTGTGCAAAGTATGTACGTATCTATTTTTAAACGGTTTTAAAAATTTCGTTAGATATTGTAATACAAAAAAAAAACTTGTAAAATATTTATAATACCAAAATGCGCTAAAAAATTGTTTAGGGTAAGTATATCTAAGAAAAAAACGAACGAAAAAAATCGTCAAAGTTCCTCAAATTTACGAATGCTCTTCCAGTGGCTTATTTAAGGGGAGGGGGACGATTTGTGAAAATGACAGGAATTTTCGTTGAACTATTTCAATCACTTTGGTATCTATAGATGAATGTAGGTCACAAAGGACGGTTCCATATTCCAGGATAAGTGGGACTAAAGAGCAATAAAAGATTTTTAACGTACTGTCAAATTTGAACTCGGATGAAATCCATTGAATAAATTCAAGGAGTTTATATGCTTTGCAACAAATCTCTTGAATATGCAATTTTGGGGGAAGCGTTTGAAGAAAAATGAAAACCTAGGTGTCGAACAAAGTTAGAAGAGGTAATTGGAATATTATTGATGGTATGATCGACAATAAATGGACTGCCGATACGAAAGTAAGACATCTTAATGCATTTAAAGATATTAAGGATCAATCCTAGAGATTCACCAGTGTACGAATTGGTCGAGGTCAGATAGGAGAAGGGTATCATAGGTATTTTGAAGATCCACATATAATTTTGTCATCTTAAATGTAAGAAGATGAACATGATGTATACCAGAGGTAGCACTATTAACCAAAATGGAAAACAGTAGTGGAGATAGAATGGCACCCTGAAGTACCCCTTTAGAGGGAATAATGATAATGGAATTAGTATTATTTAATTGTATACATTGCTTTCAGTTTATTAAATAAGATGAGAACAAAGAAAGAATTGGTTCACCAAAACCAGTCAGATAGGGTCTTAATAAAAATATTATGATTTACTCGGTCAAAGGCCTTGGAGAAATCCGTGTAGATAGTGCCAACTTGTCAATGTTGAACAAATGATTCAAAAATAAAATAACTGAATACAATATTGTTAGTAATAGTTGATCGGCCTGGTCGGAACCCATGTTGTTCATCTAACAGACATGAATTGGCTGGATAGAATGAAGGACTAATTACATAATATGAAATTTATATATTATGTGTAAATGCCTATTTCTCAACTGTAATTTAAATAAGAATTCTCATGTTATCTATTTACATTTTTAATATGTAGTTCATTTAAAATATTATTTACACGCTTACCAAAATAATTATTGTTATTATTAGATATTCTAAGTATTTGTAGCTATTGTGTTATATTTATATTTTTTGTTCAATAATGTTCATTCTTATATTGACTAACTAAAAGTATATGTTGTTAACTTTTCATTGCAAGTGCAACATAAACAAGTACCTATAACACATAAATAATTGAATTTTAAGTTTTTCTAATTTAACACCTTCCTCTTCCTTAGGATGTAAAGTAATTTATATTTTTAAAAATAAACAGGTAATTAATAACTAAATACAAATCCATAATTTAGTTATATTTTTATTTTTAATGCTATAAACTGTTACAAGATATTTTTGATTATTACTAGCATGTATTTTAAAATAGGTGACATTTTTAATATAATGCTCAACAGTTAATAATATAATATAATAATTAAAGTAAAAAATGAATTAATATAATAGATCAATCAATATAATATGAGTAATAATATTGTATAATTAATGTGTAAAACATTTCTAAATGTTACATGAATAATTTTGATTTTAAAACCAACAAAATGGATAGTAACTTAAAATAGTAGGTAATAGGTATTATAAGACAATATAATATTATAATGTAATAGTAATAAATGTAAAAATAATAGTATTCACTATTTAACATAGGCGCAACTAGACCACCAATTCTGGGGGTGCTAAAATTATATACACATCAAAGACTCATAGAGGCTATGTCCCCACAACCCCATTTAAATGACTTTTACAACAGTTACCTACACCTTCCATTTACAATTTTTTGTAGGTACACAAATTTATTATCATTATTTTAATATTGTTTTTCATACACACATGCATTGTGTGTAGGAAAACTGTATTTTGTTCTGTTCATTAAATATGAAATATATGGATAAAATATTCTATTATTACTAAGACAAACTTAAATGGGGTTTTTGACGGTGCTAATTTTAAACTCGGGAGTGCTAAAGACCCCCTGCACTTCTCTAGTTGAGCCTATGCTATTCAATATAGTAATAATAATAATAATAATGGATGTAGAGGTAATATTTGGCACAAATAAACAGGTATATGAATAATCATCACTTTTTTTTGTACACACCCTTTGATTAATAATTATTAATAGCGTAGCAAATAAGCAAAAATAATATATTGTAATTAGTAGATAGGTATTTAATCAATTTTTATTAAATAAGTCTCGGATACCTTAAATAAATCTTCTCAATAGTATAAACGGTCTGGTTATTTTAATATGTTAACTTATCATTCATAATAACCTTTCAAAAGCAGTAATTTAAATCATTTAAGTTATACAAGCAAATACTGTATTTTCAGGTATGACATTTTTATTAAAGAAAAATATAAAACCCTGAGAAAAAAAAACCTCATAAATATTTTAAAAATACATAAAATACATAAATCCATTGACAAACTTAAGCATAAATCTATTCCTAAGAACTTTTCTAAGTTCAAAAAGAGCTTACAATTCTACAAGGATACAAGAAAATTACAAAGCTGATGCTTTTTAAATGCAGACAAATAAAGAGTAATAGTAGAAGTTCAAATTATTTCATGTCTGGAGTCTAAAGTATCGGCAAAAACTTCAGTGAATGTTAGAAAGACACCAATTACCAATAGAACATTTATAGTTCCCCTAAATGATTTTGGTGATCAATCAACCAGAAATAAAAAAAAATTGTAACTAAGGATGATAACTGTTCAGAGGAATTAGTACTATTAAAGGATAGTATTAATTCCATTTATCACAGTAGTAAGCAACACATGAAAAAGCAACTACATTAAAAAGTAACTTACAGTTCTGCTGCAATAAAATGTAGTCTACAAATTTAAGCAAAGAACAAATTTTTACTTAAGTTTAAATTAGTTGCATAAATATTCATTGTATAGAAACAGAGATAAACAGTAAAACTGACGACTCTTGAGTCTATAGAAAACAACATATTATATTATTATTTAATAAAAAAAAAAAAAAACTTGTTTCCTACAAATAATTAAGAATACCTATTTTTTTTTTTTTATTTAAGAACCTGTTATGTATTTTTGTAACATAATATTATTATATCCGCAACATTATCATACAAAAATGGTTTGATTAATCAAAAATCTATTTTCCAGTATGTACATTATGCAATATTATTTGTATTTCTCAACTGTAATTCTTTGCTTAAATTTTAGGATTAGTAGACTGTTTTACTTTGTAGCAGAAGGATTTTTAGTTTCTAATACAATTTAATAAAAAGTAATATTCGGCACATAAACATATATAAATAATTAGTAATATAGCAAATAAGCAAATATATTACATTGTCATTAATATATATTTAATAATCAAGTTTTGTTGAATGAGTCCGGATATTTTGAATAGATTTCCTCAATTATAAAAATATCTTGTTCTTTTGTACATGAACTATCATCTGCAATAATTTCTCGAAGGCAGTCATTTAGATCAGATAACTTATGGCCACGGACCAAATATTCTGTATTGAAGATCACATTTTTACAAAGTTCCAAGTATGATGTACGAGCCTAAATAAAATAAGGTTAAAAATAATGACTAATTATTGTTTAAAGTTTAAACACAAATAATTATTAAACAAGTAAAAACAATATGGCATTTTTATTATGACATAGTTAATACAATTTCTTAAAGTTAAAATCATTGTAGAAATGTCTAATTAATAAAATTATTCATGAACATGGATATTAATATATTATATAATTTTACATTCTGAACAAAGCAAGGAGTGTATTAAAATTTTAACCATAAATCTTGCTCTGATTTTCAAGTGTAGCACCTTTTCTGAAAGTAAATTTTCCTGTGGGGGTATTTTAAGGCAATATTTTTTTGATTTGCACAGTAGTTTTCAAAATAATAATTGAAGAAAACCGTTAAAAAACTAGAAAAATTATGAAAATAATGCTTTTATTATTTTCAATTTGTTTTTTTTATCATAATTCAGTTAGAAATATTTGTAGACTTGAAATTTAGACAGAAAACTTATATTTTTTTTTCCTAGACATGGCAAAATGTTCAAAATATTTGAGTCATATTTACATTTTAAGACATTTTAATTTTACAAGTTTTTTTTATGTAATTTGTATTATTTAGTAGATACATACTCTGTGGATAAAATTGTTAGACCAAACAGAAATGTTTGAAAATTTGACAGGATTTGACATTATAAGTCATAATTATTGGTCAACAAAAAAAATTTTTATCTAGTATTTTTTTTAAGAATTTTGATAAAAATTATAAATATTAGTCTTTTAAAATATGTATAACAGAACTCTGCTCCGAATCTAGAATCGCGTTTTGTTAGCAATGATCAAACATTGAATATACATTAATTATTTCTCTTCTATATTCTACCTTCTCAACTTCTCACTTACAACAATGGGTCAACCATAGAACGAAATATGCCCGTCTTTTTATAATTGTATAATAAATAAATATTTTTCCGTTTTTACCTAAAATTTTTTAACTTTTTATTTAAAAATTTAAATCACAAAGTTGTAATTTTAAGCTTGCAAAATTTATTATTTTGAACATTTAAACAATAAATAAATAGCTTAATGATTTTTTTTACTAAAATAATATACATTTCAAATCAAAGGTGATCATTTGAAAATCAAATTATACGTCTACGCTCTACAAGTAAAGAGCAATTTTCTACTAATACTGATTAATATATATTTGTTAAATTAACCAAAACTATTTAATTTAAAATTAAATTAATTATTACCATTTCATCAGAAGGAATATTCAATAATTGCCTTATAATAATATCAATTAATACTTCTATGTCATTAACATAAAATAATTTGGCAGTTTTTGGATCAGACAGAATATCAATCAATAATTTTTCTACGGAGTTCTTTGGTTTCTTCTTTAACTTCAAGATTTGTACAGGATCTTCTATTCAAAAATAAATAATTAGCATTCCTTATTTTATACTTATATATATATATAATACAAATAAATTAATATACTAACTTTCAGTATTAAGTAAAATCAACAAATTTTCAGTAAGTACTTTGGCATTATCTCGTTGAGCCAATCCAGATAGTGTTATATTTGATTCAACATTTGAAAACTGAAGATTATAAGCCAACAATAAATTTATCATGCATTCGGCCTTTTTTTCATCAGTAGACGATTTTTGTTCAGTGTCTTCTATATCTCTCAGTATTTTAGTAACAAAATCCAAATTCATATATTCTGTAAAATTAAATGTATTAGCCTCAATCGTTAAAAATTTAGATACAATATTTTACCAAAGCAAGAAATAGGTAAAGTTTCTCCAACTGACAAAACAAGTGTTAAGAATTCCGCAAGAATAATTTGCTTGTTAAAATCATCTTTATCATTTTGCACATCTCTAAAAAATTAAAATATACATAATTTATAACATACATTTTAAATACACTTTTAATTTGTATTATTTTAATAATAATATCTTTATTATAAAATATGCGTATAGAAAAGTGATTAACTATATAAAAACATTAATTAAATAATTTATGTATTAGCGTTAATCAAATGTCATTTGTTATTATTATTTTGAATAATTAATTACTTATATTCAAAATGAATATTATTTTAACAAAATAAAAAAGTAATATACATTAGAATAAAAAAACAGGTACTTTTAGGCATTGATCCAATAAGATTTTTAAAATTCCACTAGGAGTAAGCATGTAAACACATTTTCTAACAGACAAGGTGTCTACGACAATGGTTTATATCATGCCTGGCAGAATTTCAATAACAATAAAAATATTTCAAATTACTTTTCATTACCAATTAAGTATAACAATAAACCTTTTTACAATTACTATAATGTATATAAATTAATAATACACTAATAAATAATTATTAATGTTAAATATAAATACATTTATTAAACATAAAATGCATTTTAAAAATACTCATTATAAAGAATACCTGGCCAATTCCATTGGTAGTATGGAATTAATTATGATTTCTACTACAACAAAATTAAGTTTACATAGTTCTGAAAATATTTCGAGCAGACGTTTTTGAATCACCCATCTCAATTCCATTTGATAATATTCTAATAAACTGTTAATAGATGAATATTGGTCAACTTTTAAAATATGGTTTATAACCATAGGATCTGCATTTTTCTACAAAAACAAAATAATTAATATAATAAAATATATACTTTAAAAATAATATTTAACATATTATAGAATAATCATTATAATTTATTTATTTTTAATGCAATTCAATGATTCTACTTAAAAATATTATTTATAACTAAATTATATTTTAGGCAAATATAGATATTCACACAATAATCTATAGCACATTAGATTAGAAAACAATAAATACATGCAATTTATATATGTTACCAGAAATGTTGACAGTTTAGGAAATGGTTGTATGTATACATATTTAGCTACGGGACACATTTCCAAATGGCTATAGAATATATTTATTTATAACAGTGTTTCGAAACCTGGATGGCTTGAAAAAAAAGCAGGGAAGACATGAAAATTCACATTTACAATGTACATTTTATATAAACAAGAGCAAAACAAAAAAAAAGACATCCTAGGATAATGGGGAAGGGTGCAGCTACTGTTATAAGTAATTTAATGTACACTAACTGTAAGCAATGATAAACCATTACTAACGAAAAATTATTCTAAGTACAGTTCAGTTGATAGTGATATGCTTTGTCAACAATATATATGTTAAAATAATTAAATAGGCATTATATATTTTCTTCAGTAATATTTGTTTAATATTGTACTGTTGTTCGTAGTATTACACATTTACTGGGAAAACTCTTGGAAAAATCAAAAAATGACTTCCTCGAGTTATCATGGAGATAAAATTTCCTTTCAGAAAATAAGCTACACTTGATAAATCGGAGCAGATTTTTGGTAGAAAAGTATGCACAACAAATCGAGGGGTGTGCCAGCAGATCAGCATTCAGAATTTGTAACTCGAAATGTCAAGTAAGTTTACCATGTGAGAATATTGCATGTTATCCTTAAGAAATGATATAATTTTCTTTCCTTATTAAGAATTATCATTATTTCTGGTAACACACATAAATATTACATGTCCAATGATAAATACATAAATGCATGTTTAATATTTTGTTGTAAATATTAACTAATTAAAATCAATTATAATTTATAAAAGTTATAAATAATTTTATTAAATAACATTTCCTAAAATAACCTGTATTTTCTTTGTGATGTGGTTTTACTCTTTATTTGTTTAATTTAGCCAATTGAAAACTTAAATATTATGCAATTTCAAAAAAAAAAAAAAACTAAATGTGATGGCTTTTGATTATGTAGCCAGTACAATGGGAGGGTGGTTAGATTAACTTGTTAATATACAATATTACTAATAATTATTGATATTGTTAACAGATAAGATAGTTACCAAGATACTTGTAAGTTCTATTAAACAGTTTTCAATTTGTACATGATCATCATATATTTGCCATGAACGTTGTTGAGAATCTTCTTTAGCTTCTGTTAAATATCCCAATAATTGAAGCATGCTTTGTCCATCCTTTGTATTTTCCAAACACTCTACAGGTAATGTTGCATTTGTAGGAGGAAATGTATCTATTATATTGTGTATAGTATTGAGACCAGACTTTCCTGGTTCATCTACTAGTTTTGACAAATTCTGAATCACAACAGAGACAGCTACTTGAGACAAATTGTAAGACAATCCTGTATGATTTCTCACCTAAAACATCAACAAGTTTATTATATGAATAATAAAAATTACATAGCTAAAATAAATATATTTAATTAAGTTTGTATTAAGCTCAAGCTCAATAACAAAATAATCTTATGATCTCTAAAGATTTTAGTAAAATTAAAAATTAATACATGGAATATTATAAATCATAGACAAATATTCAATGTTTGTTTAAAATAATTAAATAATAAAGTAAAACAAAAATTATTAAATGGTTAAGGTACTAGTAAATAACTATATAAATAAATAAATAAACAAATAAATGGAATATTATGATGTGTATTTAAAGTTCATCGTTAGGTAAAATCACGAAGTCAAAAAGTAAAACGTGACTCAATTGAGTATTATTTATTTATTTATGTAGTTGTTTAAAAATAAGTGTAATAAAATAAACAATGATCAATTAAAATATTTGATATTAAATTCATTCTAACTTGCTGCACTACTTCATAAATGTCAGGGACAGTGATTTCTTTGGGTTTTAGGAAAATACTCCATTCATTTTTGTGTTCATTCAATTTTTGTTCAAGTGTTTCTGTTTGAAGAGACTATACAAATAATACAAAACAATAAGATACTTAATTAATAAATACTAACAAAATAATTTCAATGTTTTAAATATTAAATTAATAATAGTTAATAATTGGTAAATTTGAATTTTAATCGTATATCAATAATAAAACCTTATCAGTCATTTTGCATTGTGCAAGTGTATCTAGTTTAGCATCTAATGTGTTGTATGCAATTTTTTGTTTAAATTTTTTTTTCCTTTTTAATAATGTTTCGTAAATGTTATATTGGTTGGATGAATTATCATTCTTATCAAGTTTTTGTTGAACAGTAGACAGACATTTCTCTAAGAATTCCAAGACGTGAGTATCTTTTACCTGATAAAAATAAAAAATATTTATAATTAATAAAACAAATATAAGTATCATATACCTAACATACATACATATATGGTTTTTACATAATTATATGGCACGTATCCTTTATCACCAGTTTGGTTAATAACTAAACACCAACTCTTTTTATCTCCAATATCTCGATAAATGAAAAATTCATCATTGGTTTTGAAATCAAGTGTTCTTTCTGATGAACTATCTTCATAATCATATAATGCCTTAAGCATTTCATAACCTATCAATGATTTAAAATTAGTTTTATTAATATACCTATATATAAGTAGATACAATACACATATTATGATAGTATAAAAACCTAAGGGATACAATTAATTACTAGGTATTAAATTAATAATTACTTTTAATTTATTAATCAAAGCATATTAAATTTTGAAATATTTCCCTTGAAATTTTAAGCTAATATTACTTTTTTCAATCCCATCTGTAAACCAATACCATGCCATAATAAAAAAATACAATTATTAAGTGGCTATTAGAGTGGATCAAAAAAAATATTTTTCTCTTGATTTGTTCACTCATTTAGTATTATGTTTTCGGGAATATATAAATATTTTCCACCTTTTTTATAAGTTTTGGATGATATTTAGAAGCTGCAATCAACCCTTTTATAAAAAGTGGTGTTTTTTATTATCTTACTAGGTAGAGATGGCAAAATTGATATATTGCATGCAAATGGATATTTTCAGAGATGAACTCTAACTCAGAGTAAATTAATTTAATGGGACTCTAACAATGTAATATCTTTATTGTTCAGGTTTATTTGGGAAATTAGTACATGTGTTAGAGCTCAATCTTAGCACCTGAATGATCTCCAAATGCTCAAAGATTTAATGCAATATCATAGTATTCATAAAAAACAAATTGGAGAACATTTTCAGGACAGTTATGGTATGTAAGTTATCAGGATTAACGTTGTTTGATTCTCTAATTTCACATGAAGATTATAAAAAAATGGTCATAGCTTTAAAAAAAAGTATGAGCATTTTATCATCCAATATCTCTCCAGAATTTTTGAAAAAGTATGTGGAATGGTGATTCTGAGTTCATCAAAGCTCAAGAGATCATTCAAAGTTCGATAGTGATGAATGATTAGACAAAGTATTCAACACTAACAATATCATTGAAATTTTTTTATTATTTTTTTAATTAAAATACAATAATTAGATATTTGTTTTAATAAAATATTAATCAGTAGGTACATAATTTGCCTTTTTGAAATTTAAAACTAAATCAATTAAATCATAATGTTAAATAGATTTTTAAATTTTTTCTTCCAAAGATTTCTCATAAATAGAGGCAGGAATAATATTCTCTTAATATAGCAAAAATAAGATGCCAATACTATCTTAAAAATAATGAAAATATTCTTCTAATATTCTTTAAAAATTTTAATAAAATATCCAAAAATATCCTTTTATATTATCTTAAATTAAAAATATGCTTTTATATGCAAATAATAATATACAAAATAAAAAAATAATCTGATATAAATAGGTATACAATAAAAAATAAAACGGCTTAAAAAGCTACGACTACACATTTTATTTATTTTATTTAATTAGATTAATGAGGTATTTTTAACTAAGACAATTTTTGAAAACTGTTTATAATTATATTTGTTTCCATGTGCTCTGGTGTCATGTTTGTAGGATGGTCAGTTAGAATGTTTTTATAAGTACTGAAAGAATGTTTAACGTCAACTGAAGTCATAGGAGCATGCTACAAATCAGTTATCATATGCTGGTGAAAAATTATCATTAAAAATTAACTACAGACTATAAAATGACATCAATATTATAATATAGTATATTATATTTCCGCCACTGTAACACAAAATATTGAAAATCCATAAAAATAAATCAGTATATTCTTTAATATTCTTTTTTAGACAAAATATTCTTTCATCTTGAAATATCCTACAATATGCAAAAAAAAAGGTTGCTATTGATTTATACGTTTCACGATTTGTAAATCTTTCAAACTGCATAGACTTAAAAAAAAATATGTATACGAATTTAATTCCGGCTTCTACTCATAAAATATAAATCTTTTATTTATCCTTATTATTTAAGGGTGTATTAATATATTATGTTTCTAATTACAAAATATAATTATTAAATTATGACAATAATAATTTAACGGTTATAAGGTAAAAGGACGTAAGCGACATTTATTTTAAAATCGACTTTGCATATTATCGTAAACTGCATAATTATATATATCGATTGATCCAACCTAAACATCAATATCATTTTTATTTTCAACAATCGAAGTTTTAAATTATGGACATAAACTGCAAATAGTAGATAATAATTAGGGGGATTTAAAAATTGTAAACGCCAATTAAAGAACGTAACAACATTCAGGAAAATGTGATAGAATTTAAGCATTACTGGCGATTACATCTATTTATCATTACTTAATTCCCGCTTAATAGTATTTTTCTGTTTTTTATCAAACCTACTTATTGAAAAAATGACAATATTAAACTATAAGCCATTATATTCAACAGAATAACTTGTAAAGTGTAAATGCCAGACAAAAAAGGGGCATGTCTTTTTTTTTTATAATGGCATTAAATGCATAATTATATTATAATTAAGAAAAATGAATCGACAAAAACACTTAAAAGTTGATAACTTAACATATGAAGTCCAAAAACCATTTGTCATACAATGTCCTATGGTTGTAACACAATATTACGGCTCTCCTGAACAATTTGGGAAGTGGCACTTACACTCAACGCTCTTTTTTTCTAACCATCAATATTATCGTCAGCTAACATATGTTCAGTCATATCTTATGAATGGAATTTAATGGGACCTGAACAAAAGTATCTGAAATATTTTAAGTTTTATTTTCCAAAAGATTTTTAAAATTAAGTTACTTTTTAAGACTGTGTTAAAAAAAAACCAAAAATTATCATTAGTACAAAAATGTAGAGACGTTGTGTAGGTATACACAATCAGCAGATGCTCATGTTATAATAGTGTTCCTAAAGCTTGTTTGTAAGCAAAGAATTGTTTAATAATAACTAAATAATTATATCACACCATTGATATAGTAAATTTCAAGTAGTATTTAAAAACTAAGTAGATAGGTACTATTTTATTTTAGCTTACTGCATTCTGACGTATCATTCATCATATTTGGTCTCAGCAAACTAGTGATCATCATTTCAGTATTGACAATAATCCGGATATTAAGAGACGATATAAGTTTTATGACAGTCTAAGTTTTAACTACTAAATAAGGTTATATAATAACCGAACAATAATAATGTAAAACAATTTAAAATTCGTAGTGATATACAGATTTGTGTACACACTACACTTCATGAACATATGTATAGAGAGCGTCGCGTCTGGTCGGCCGACAGCCAGTGTTATACGGGTTGAGGATAACAAACAGCTGATATCATTGAGCACACTGTGCACATGATATTCATACGCATGAATTTATTGTAGAATATAATTTTTTGAGAGCAGGAAAAAATACGATACTTACGTCGCATCTACCTATTATCTCAGAACATTCTATTAATATTTATTATTTGATACATTGCACTGTTGCAGAATATATCTGTACCCATATTTTTTAAAATCATTTTAATTTAATTTTTTTTTTTACAGATTAAATTAACAGTTTTATACTTTGAAAAAAGTTTTTACCTAGGTACCTACATTATAAAATATTAACTTAATGTTGTAGGTAGGCGTCTCTCATAATCAACAGTAGTCTCTCCCACCAACCACAAAAAAAAACCAAAAACATAATTGGAATACCTTACAATATTCAATATTCATTAGGAATTTTGTTCTCAAAACAACTTGAGGTGGACTTTTTTTATTTTTATAAACCAATTTTCTTGGCCAACACAGTTAGGTTCCCTGAAATTAATAACAAGAAAATCTAATTACGCCTGTGCGTTCGGGTGCATTACAGAAATTTGTAAAATACAAAAAAATCTTATTTCTCAGGTCGTAGGCGCTCCTAAAATCAGCACCAAAAAAATACCCGATACATTTTTTTTAAAGTATATTGACTAAATATTTTATCAGTGTGTTTCATAATTAATATAAGCAGGGCGAAAAATATAGATTACCCATACAGACAACGCATATCTATACGGCGTGTATTTAAAATTAAGTTAAAAAAGGCACGATATGTTTAAATAAAAAAAAAAAAATGTAAATGAAATGTGTAGTTGCTTATTATACTTAATGTGTGCCTTGCAGTAAAAGGGGATTGTGAGGGCATTGCTCCCACTAGTCTGTGATGTGTATATAATTTTAGCACTCCCGAATGCTTCGGGTCAGACATCCTGGATGGCGAAAAATGTAAACTTGAAATACCTACGCGGTGGCGGCGATCGTAATATCGATCCGCGGGTGGCTGCGCAAACGATATTATTATTATTGTAAGTAACGACCGCGCTCGTTGTCATGGCGGCAGCTCGCTGGCAGGCGTTCCAAGGTCGGCGGCGGCATCCCGTCAGCCTTTGTCGACTCGACACAGGTATTTTTTTTTCTTATGTGTTGAATGTAAACGAAATCTTCGGATTTGTTTGTAAAAAAATTAAAAACAGGCCATAGGTATACGTATACATGTACTACGAACCGGTGTTCAATCCAGGTATACATAGGGGGGGGGACGATAGCCCTCGCTGGAATTTTGTTTGCCCCCTCCCTGTTAAATGTGGGTAAATTAATAATAAATTAAATAATTAAATCAATTTTAATTTGACTGGTCTTAGTAAGAGAATAGCAAAAAAAAAATAAATGGTCATTTACTATAATTTTAATAATGTCTCCCCCCCAGAAAAATTGTCTGGATTCAACATTGCTGCGAACCATATGGGTAGACCACCTTGACACTGTAATAAGCGAGAATTTGGGACGGTATAGAATATAGGGTAGTTTATACACTGTAAGAAACGACAAGCGTAGCTCATTAATTTAATAAAGTAGGTAATTATTGCAGGACAATAAATATTATAGTTTTTCACTTTGTAGTCAAGATAACTCTTGAGTAGCTCTTGTAACCCAGAGCAAAATTGTTCATCATTTGTTTTAATTTTTCGGCCAAATGTTTCAATTAAAGTAATTTATCTAACTAAAATCCACATGTTTCAATCAGAGTAAAAATGCACGTATAATTTTTTTCGCTCAGAATTTAAAATAAAATACCAGTTCCTGGCTGGTAAAAAAAAATAATATACGATAGAATATTATTATCTAGATAGAGTAATAGGTATAATATTAAATTCCTGCATATAGGTAAATACTTATACTAATACTTAAACCATTTTTCATAAGCAGTCTCGTTATTTAATAGCCAGACTTCGTACATGCCGATAAAGGAAACATTCTTTACAGGTTTAAATACTTAATAGTGTGTTATCATTTATTTTATTTAAATTTGGAGCGTATGTAGTATACAAAAATAAAGGGGGGTCAGCCTAATCATATAAAATTGATTCACACGTATAAGTTAATTATAAATTGGATTAACTTTCTCCTTCAGGCGGCAAATGATCTGTTGAATCTGATAAAGGTGACCGAAATAAAATAAAAAGATTTTAATGTAACAACTAATTTTTTTTATTAATTTTTTAAATATAAAACAACACTGTTCTAGGTTCCCGTACTTTTGTAAGAATCTCTGCGTAGTCTTTTACACTCGCTTGTGATCATCTGTCCAAAAGCAACGGGGACAATACACGCTACTGTGTGTGATTAGAAGTGGCCGGCCTCCTTATAACTGGAGATTATGTGTGTGTGCGTGTGTAAATGTGTTATCTTAAACTGGTTAATACTAAAAACTTAATCTAATACATAATGGCTATAAATTATTATAATTATTTTACAATATTGATTATACATTTTATTTTAACTATATATGATAGCTTAAGTATCATATCCTTACGATGAGTAGATATCGCATTGAAATATATGTTATTTGATAAAAACAATGGAATTGGATGTATATGTTTAATTTTCGTTCCCGTTATTAATTGTTTGATTTATTTCTTACATAACATAATATTTTATTTTAAATTATGTATGATAGCTTAAATAGCCTATCATTACATCCACCCCAGTCTCTTTTTTGTTATGCCCCCATAACAATACATATTATTTTATAGAGAAATCAATATTTAATATTAAATTGTAGTATTAATTATTAATAACTTGGTTGTTGTTCTTTTAACAGTGAATTCGAGGTATACAAATTTAGTATTCAGATAAGACAATAAATCTGCGCTGAAAGGTGTGATCTGTTTTGGTGTAAAGCTATCTGCGTAATTTTGGTCAGCTATTATTAATAGTTGAGGGTTGTCTGTTTTATATACCGGAATGTTGCAGGCATAACTTAATGATAATTTTTTTAGGGAGATGGCAGTATGGTTTGTTTCTACTATGAACGATTCCGTGTTTGAATTATAAGTGGTTGCTTTTACTAATGACGCTTCTCCGTCATATAGAACATCGAATTCGCGTATGTTGCATTCTTGATGTTCGATCTGCCATACTATTCCCCCCTTGTATTGGTCTAATCCATATGAGTCAGATAATTTTAATCTGGATCCCGATGGTAGAATTAAAATGTTTTCTTTATTGTTGGCTGTTGCTATTCCTTCTGCGAGGTGTATGGAGTATTTGGCTTGAACAATGACTTTGTGCCAAGTTCCGTTTGGGTTGGTGAAAGTGGGTACCTTCACAGTTTCCTTCTCTATCGAGCGCACCACCACTAGTGTGGGGTACTAAAGTTGTTTGGTTGATTTTGAGTCCGGATATTATATTTCCTAGAGGTGTGTGGTATACTCTATGTTGATGGATTTCTTTACATCTAGCAGTTCCTAGTTCAATTATTTCTGAGAAAAAACCGCCATCTACCATTTGTGCATCTTCAAATACTGAACAGCTGGTAATGAGGTAGTCGATGGAAATAAAACATGTTTGGAAATATACGGGTTGTGTTTCTGCTTTCTGTAATAGTTTTATTCTTCGCATGTGTTAGATTTCGACGGGCGTTGGTATGTCACAGTCGTCCACTTCTAAGCTGTTGAAGGACGTGATGTTGACTTGTGATCCACCACAATCATAAGCTATACATTTGTTTGTAGTTGTGCAAAATGTAAAGAATATAAACAGAGAGTCTTTGAGCATGTTGATTATTTGTATTATATAATAAATAAATAAAGAAAAAAAAAATATATCTATATATAAATAAATGAACAAATAGTTACAAATAATATAAGGAAATTGTGATAGTAATAATGTGGAAGGGAAGAGAAAGAAAAAACCTGTGAATAAAAGTTTATTGATAAGTAGGTATATAATAATTTTATTGGATGGGTGGAAGAGTATGATCATTTCTATCTGTTTAGCGTTTGCGTGTATTTATAAGATTATAAAAAAAAAAGGTATATTACGTATCTCTTTTTTTGTTATATTAGGTGCCCTACTCGATAATACTATAATAGCTGAGCGTAATAAGATGGTAAAAATGGTTAGAACGTATGGTATCATATAATTATTGTTGTGAGGAGGCCTTTCAGATAAACGGTTTTTATGTGTATGTATATATATATATATATGTTATTATATTATATTTTGTTATAGTATTATTTGTTATAATTATTATTATTATTATTATTATTATTATTTTTTTAAACGTATTCTAATCTGCCTACTTTTTCTATCTATTAATGTATGGTTTCATTCTTCTGACATGAATTATGTCATTAGTCGTTTTATTGTTGAGGGTTANTTAAATCATTTATTTTGTCTATTATTTTGAAAGGGCCTTTATATCTGGGAGCAAGTTTTTGAGATTTTCCTACCTCATTAAATGGAAATAGGATTAACACTGAATCTCCAGGTTGAAATTTGATTAAGCGATGTTTTTTGTCGTGTTGTATTTTTTGTGCATTTTGAGTGGTTTTGATTAAATTTGGAATCTTGTCTTTTAATTTGTTTAGTTCTATCAGTGATTTTTTTATGTCATAAGGGATGTTTGTTGAAATTATTTTGTTGTCTATTGGAAAATAAGGTTCAAAACCGTACATTAAGTAAAAAGGGCTGTATTTAGTGCTAGTTTGTGGTGAGGCGTTGTAACTTAACGTGACGTATGGTAAATAATATGACCATCTTGATTGGTTATTAACGTTTATGTAATTTTTTAGAGCATTGCATAATACACCATTTATTTTTTCAACGAATCCTTGCGTTTGTGGGGAGTAACTGGTTGATAATATTTGTTTTATTCCCAAGTTACCGCATACTTCACTCACCAATTGATTTCTAAAGTGTGCACCTCTATCAGATGAAAATTGTCGGAAACAGCCCCATTGTGATATTATTT